AAGGTCGGATTGACCTTGACCGCCATCGCCACGTTTGTCACCGCCTTTATTGTCGCTTATATCAAATATTGGAAGTTGGCACTGATTTGCACTTCGACGATTGTGGCGTTGGTTCTGCTTATGGGAGGTGGTTCTCGGTTCATTGTCAAGAACAGCAAGCAGGCTCTGCAGAGCGCCGGTGCCGGTGGTACAGTAGCGGAAGAAGTTATCAGCTCCATCCGCAATGCGACTGCTTTCGGAACCCAGGATAAGCTCGCAAAGCAATATGAGACTCATCTGGCTGAGGCTGAGAAGTGGGGTATCAAGACCCAGGTGACCCTTGGTTTCATGATTGGTGGCATGTTCGGTATTATGTTCTCCAACTATGGCCTTGGTTTCTGGATGGGCTCCCGCTTCCTCACCGATGGTGAGGTTAATGTTGGCCAGGTCCTGACTGTGTTGATGGCTATCCTGATCGGCTCGTTCAGTTTGGGTAACGTCAGCCCTAACGCTCAGGCGTTCACGAACGCTGTTGCCGCTGCTGTTAAGATTTTTGGTACAATTGACCGCCCTTCACCCCTTGACCCCTATTCCGAAGAAGGCGAGAAACTCGAGCATTTCGAGGGCAACATTGAGTTCCGTGACATCAAGCACATTTACCCTTCGCGACCTGAAGTGACCGTCATGGACGGCGTTTCTCTAAGCATGCCTGCCGGAAAGACGACGGCCTTGGTGGGCCCGTCTGGCTCTGGAAAGAGTACCGTTGTCGGACTCGTTGAGCGCTTCTATTTCCCCGTTGGGGGCTCTGTCCTGTTGGACGGCCATGATATCTCGACTCTCAACCTTCGTTGGTTGCGTCAGCAAATCTCGCTGGTCAGCCAAGAACCTGTTCTCTTCGGCACTACAATTTACCACAACATCCGCTATGGTCTCATTGGCACCAAGTTTGAGCAAGAATCCGAGGATAAGATCCGAGAGTTGATCGAAAATGCAGCTAGAATGGCTAATGCCCATGATTTCATCACAGCACTTCCCGAAGGCTATGAGACCAACGTTGGTCAGCGCGGCTTTTTGCTCTCCGGAGGACAAAAGCAGCGTATCGCCATCGCTCGGGCCATTGTGAGCGATCCCAAAATCCTTCTACTCGATGAAGCAACGTCTGCCTTGGATACAAAATCTGAGGGCGTCGTACAAGCAGCACTGGACCGAGCTGCTGAAGGTCGAACCACCATCGTGATTGCCCACCGCCTATCTACAATCAAGACGGCGCACAACATTGTTGTCATGGTAAATGGCAAGATTGTAGAGCAAGGGAACCACAACGAGCTTGTCGGCCGTAAGGGTACCTACCACAGTCTTGTTGAGGCCCAGCGTATCAACGAGGAAAAGGACGCGGAAGCTTTGGCTGCGGATGAGGATGTGGATGAGGAAGATTTCTCGAAACACGAAATTGCGCGCATCAAATCTGCTAGCAGTGGGTCTGGCTCTATCGATGATGAGGATGAGAAGTCGCTCGCCGGGAACGGACTAAACCGCAGTGGAACGCACAAGTCCATCTCCAGCGCCATTCTTTCTAAGCGGGAGCCCGAGGTGGCTCGGAAGTACTCGCTTTGGACGTTGGTCAAGTTTATCGCCTCTTTCAATCGCCCCGAGCTCAAGTATATGCTCATTGGCTTGGTCTTCGCTGTCCTTTCCGGTGGTGGCCAGCCGACTCAGGCTGTGCTCTACGCCAAAGCTATCAGTACACTTTCGTTGCCAACTAGCGAGGCCGCCAAAATCCGACACGACGGGGCTTTCTGGGCTCTGATGTTCTTCGTTGTCGGAATTGCTCAGTTTATCAATCTTTCCATCAATGGTGCCGCATTTGCCGTCTGTTCAGAGCGACTGATTCGCCGCGCCCGTAGCATGGCCTTCAGATCAATTCTTCGCCAGGATATTACCTTCTTTGACCGCGAGGAAAACAGCACTGGTGCGCTCACTTCATTCCTTTCGACGGAGACTAAGCATCTTTCTGGAGTCAGTGGCGCGACCTTGGGAACTATTCTCATGACCAGCACTACTCTCGGCGCAGCTATGATCATCTCTCTATCTATCGGATGGAAACTGGCTCTGGTTTGTATCTCCGTGGTTCCTATCCTTCTGGGTTGTGGTTTCTACCGTTTCTACATGCTTGCGAGATTCCAACAACGATCCAAGACTGCTTATGAGGGGTCTGCAAGCTACGCCTGCGAAGCGACATCTGCTATTCGCACTGTGGCCTCCCTCACTCGGGAGCAGGATGTCTGGGCAATGTACCATTCACAGCTGGAGGACCAAGGTCGGAAGAGTTTGATATCCGTGCTGAAGTCTTCTATCCTTTATGCATGCTCGCAGGCTCTTGTTTTCTTCTGCGTTGCACTCGGCTTCTGGTATGGAGGTACACTTCTGGGTCATCACGAGTACTCCGTCTTTCGCTTTTTCGTCTGCTTCTCCGAAATCCTGTTTGGCGCCCAGTCCGCTGGTACTGTTTTCTCTTTCTCTCCTGACATGGGCAAGGCAAAGAACGCTGCAGCTGAGTTCCGGAGACTGTTTGACCGGAAGCCAGAGATCGACACATGGTCCGAAGAGGGCGAGCAGCTCGAATCTGTGGAAGGCGAGATTGAGTTCAGGAACGTGCACTTCCGGTACCCTACCCGTGCCGAGCAGCCTGTCCTGCGAGGCCTGAATTTGACCGTCAAGCCTGGACAATACATTGCCCTCGTCGGGCCCAGTGGATGTGGCAAGAGTACGACAATTGCGCTCCTTGAACGTTTCTACGATGCCATCGCTGGCAAGGTTCTTATCGATGGAAAGGATATCACTCAAATCAATGTCAACTCATACCGCAGTTTCTTGTCGCTCGTCAGCCAGGAACCCACTCTGTACCAAGGCACCATCAAGGAGAACATTCTGTTGGGAGTCCGCGGAGAAGATGTGACGGAGGAGCAACTGGTGAAGGCTTGCAAGGATGCCAACATTTATGACTTTATCATGTCCCTGCCGTAAGTTAACGCCTTCGTCTTGTCTCTGAAGGATCTGGCACTAACAACTTTTTCAGTGAGGGTTTCAATACCGTTGTTGGTAGCAAAGGAGGTATGCTGTCCGGAGGTCAGAAGCAGCGTGTGGCGATCGCGCGTGCCTTAATCCGGGATCCCCGAGTGCTTCTCCTGGATGAAGCCACCTCTGCTCTTGATTCCGAGTCCGAGAAGGTTGTGCAAGCTGCGTTGGATGCCGCGGCCAAGGGCCGAACCACGATTGCCGTCGCACATCGTCTGAGTACGATTCAGAAGGCCGATATCATCTATGTTTTCGACCAGGGGAAGATAGTCGAAAGCGGAACCCACCAAGAATTGATCCGGGTGAAAGGCCGTTATTACGAGCTGGTTAATTTGCAGAGCCTGGACGGTGGCAACTAATCTTTATTGCATCCTGTTTAGACCTCTACTGTCTGTTTGCTTTGCTTATACCCCCCCTTATACTTGCGTTTATCTCTCATCTCTATTTATCCTGTAATGTGTTATGATCTCTTCTCAAAAGCCATGTTAGGTGTTGGCTCTGGTCATCGCTCAGTTTTTTTTGCTACTTCTTAAGCTGCATTCATCGGCATGGAGTGGGCGGGCATTCTGCTTGCTTGGAATGGAAACTCTCACGATTGTACTTTAATTTAACAAGACAACCCTTTATATCTGTTGTTCGCTGGCGTATATAAAAGTAGTAGCATTGCATGACAAGTAATTTTGATCACATTATCAGATGGGCTCTGACTCTACTGTTGCATCTGTATGCCTAGGAAGATTACTTCTCGCCATCCATAAACGCCAAACCACAAACCCATGATCAAACCTATTTACCCGTCAATGAACACCAAAAGAAGTGACAACTATTTCGGACGCCTGCATCAATGAATAACCCCATCATTCAACATTTGAGCATGAATCAATCCCCATCATCCACTTCATACTCCCTCTGCACGTCCACCTGCCGTACACCACGGGCATCCGCAATCAACCCCATCAATCCCTGGGCGATGTCTTTGATTTCGTTGTACTCATGGAGAAGACGAATGTGCCGTTTGACCGTCGTAGATGGGTCATTTCTAGATTTAGTGTCAGTATGTGAGGATACTTATTATATGCTCGAATGTGTATGGTAAGAGGATTACGCAGCTGCTTGGTTTCATACTTCAATTTGGCCTTGGTCTGTGCTATTTGCGACTCTATTTCTGTGATTTGGGATTGCAGACTGGCGATGGATGCGCGGAGGGTGGACTGTTTACTTTGGTTAAGTGTTGCTGCTTATGGTAGAGGGTATGTAGTTACCAGCTTCTTTTCTTTTTGCGTCTGCTCGTCACAAGCTGGCGTTGTGGTGGAGGATGTGGCTTGCTGGGGTGGTGGCATGATGGTATGCGCATGCAGGGGGGGTTCTTCCTATCTGATCTTCTCCATGTGTGGAACCTGGGCTGTTAGAGGGAATTGCCAGATGTAACAGGATAGCCTTGGCAATGATTCAAACAGATGCCTGGACTGCCTGGTGTGGAGAGAGAATAGTGTAGATACTAAGTAAAGAGTACGTAGGCCTGGATGGGGCCCGTCTCCTTCTATGCCGTCCGATTTGCGGTTTCACAGATGATCGAATCCACTGTCAAGCGATGATGGAAAATCCTTCACCACGGGGTGGATATATTTTTGTTGTTTAATTCTATGAAGACAGATTAGCAATGGCAGTGAGCTAGATAGACTGGTCTCCAACGAATTAGTTCTCATCTCATTATACTAGTAGGTAGTATACTGACGGCCTGGTAACTGAGACCTACAACGCTGGCCGACCAATCCGGTTCGCTCGATTTCGCGGCTCCCTTAATAAGGCCGAATAGGGAACCGACACCCGCCTCCGCCTCCATCAATAATCTTCATTCCCGATCGTCTGACTCTCTCTCTTTCTCTCTCTCTCCCTCCCCTCTTCTTCTTCACTCTTTCTCTCCTCGCAAAAGGGTGAAGTTGATCATGGCGATACTAAGTCGACTTGGGCCCCAAGGGTTGCTGGCAGTCCTGCTGCTTGCTTCCCCCACCCTGGCCCACGGGGGTCATGAGAGTGTCCCCGAGGGTGCCGCCATCTCCGAGGATCCGATTGTATGTTGTCGCACCCACGGCTGACCTGTCTGCGATTGCTGCGGCCTCAACATTATACTGACTAGTCGCCTAGGACACAACACTATGGATACATATGATCCTTATGGGGTTTGCCTTTGGCGTTATCTTTCCCTTGGGCATGGTTCTTGGGGTAAGCTGGCCCGGTTACATCCTATCTCCGACCTTCCGCGGTCGGGGATACTCGATTACTCGATCAAATGAGACGCATATCTGACATTTCCGCTTTACCATCATAGATTATACGCTCGCGCTGGCACGTCCCTCTCCAGATTGTCGGAACGATTATCGCTGTGCTCGCATACTTCCTCGGACATGCTCACAAAGGCCGCCAGTTCTCGAAGAACGTCCACGCGTCCTTTGCGAACACACTGATGCTCATGATGGTGGTGCAGATCGTCCTCGGCGTCTATCTCAAGCTGCACCTTACCAAGGGAATTCATGGCCGGATCCGCCGGGTTATTGTGATTGCGCACGGAGTGGTTGGAAAGGCGATGCCTGTGGCGAGCTGGGTCCAGATGCTCTTCGGAGGAATCACTGCCATGGGATTCTGTCGGGATGATCACTTGGGACAGTGTCTGGCTCATTTCATCATGGGCAGCGCTTTCATCGCCTACGGTATCCTGCTGACCATCCTACTCCTCGTTGGCCAGTACTGGCTGCGCCGCACTGGCCGCAGCCAGGAGTTCTTCGACTCGTTGATCATCGCTGCATGGGGATGTGTCAACACCTTCACGGAACACCGTTGGGGAGGTCCCTGGGTCCACAATGATTTGCAGCACACTACTATGGGTGTTGTCTGGTGGTGCGCCGGTCTACTGGGTATTTGGATGAGCCGGAAGCGCAACGGCCGGCCCAAGCGGAACTTGATCCCAGCCATAGTCATTCTCCTCACTGGTTATGCCATGTCTGCCCACCCGCAGACTCTGATGATCAGCACTATGATCCACTCCATCTTCGGCTACACGTTAATGGCTGCCGGTTTCACCAGAATCATTGAGATCTCCTTCGTGCTTCGGGACAAGGGCTCTGTCAGCCCGGACGGATCTGACCCTAACAGCTTCCAATATCTCACGCCTTTCGTAAGTCTTCCACAGCCCTTCCGGCTGAAGTGTGTCGTCATTTCTAACTTATCGCAGCTTCTGTACGCCTCGGGCTTCCTCTTCATGGGCGCCACCGAAGAGCAGATGCAACTCCTGAACGATGCAGGAATTACTCACGTCTCCTACGTCCTGATTCTCTACAGCATCGCCTTCATTCTCTTCCTATGTAAGACCACCTCCCTTCCCCCCAAAAACCAGAGAACCACACTAACCCCACCCCCAACACAGTCGTCAACGTGCTCCTGCACATCTACGCCGTCCATGCATGGCCCGAATCCGCACAAGCGCCTTCCCATTCGCGCTCTTCCAGCGCTGCAGATGCCGGCGAGGGCTCATCCCGCTATAGACCGACCGCCAACGGCCGCCTCATGAACGGCCATGCCCGCTCACCCTCAGAAGCACAGCACCTGCACGATGCGGAGGAATTCGAACTCCAAGGTCTCATCTCCGACGAGGAAGATGACGCGAAAGACACCCACGCCATGGGTCCGCGGAAGACTGAAGACGAGGAGAGCTCTCCTTTGGTTGCTAATGGGACAGCAGCTACGACGCATTAATAAAATTCCTTCAGAGGGAGTGTGCATTTGGTGTTTCTTACATATTTCTCTTCTTTCTCTTCTAAAAGATCGTTGTGATATCAACAATATTATTTCCTATTTTCTTTTCATTTTCTTCTTTTCTTTCGGATACAGCTATCTACAGTCCTGTGTAGTATTTAGCTCGCTGTAGCTACGGGGTTTGGCGTGAATATTGGGTTGGGTACTTTCTGTGCATAAGCTCGAATCATAAGTTGACTCCCGTAATTTTAGTATAGTGTTCACAAATCCTTGACATCAATACAAGCGACTTATTTAACGAATGCGAGAAGAAAAGGAAAAAAAGTCTAGATGGCTTCATTTTTTGAGTAAACCCCCGGAAGATGTCGAAATCGTGTTATCAGATCTATCGTACACGTCGTAAGCGGGTCCCCAATCAAGCAGGGGATACCGATATGCAAAAGGGAAGAAAAGCAAGAAGGGAAATAGGAGGAAAGGGCGAGATGAAATACTCTTCATCGAGAAAATGCTGTCCATTCTCAACTGCCGTCTACGTCTTAGGGCATTAAAGGTGCCGGGGCTGGCTCGCCATCTAACGGGATGGCTTGCACAACTGGAACCACGGGTGGAATGGCACTCTCGACTTCCGGGGGGAAGAATGGATGTAAGGGGTAGATGGGAGCGGCGGAGCGTTCTCCATCGAAGAGAAGCATGTTCTGGAGGGGATGTTCTCGTGCGCTCAAGACGTTGATCACGTCCTGGGCGAGATGGCCGCCTACAAATGCGGCTACAGGGCTCAGTTCACTTCCCAGATTTTGTAGGAAAGTGCGCAGGAACCCGGCGTCCAAGGTGGTGATGTCGAGCTTGAGTTCTTGGTGACAGTCGCGGGCGTGCTTCGTGAAGAGTTCCAGGTCTTGGTGGGAGAATGTGGGCAGGGCGCCGGCGGATGATTTCTGGTATTCCCATAATGCGCGGAGGCAGGTGAGAAGGGGTGTCACTTGTTTGCGCTTGCGTGCGATTCGGGTGAACTCCTCCGGAAGTGGCGAGGTGTTTGCGAGGATCAGCGGAGAGTACACCTCGCGCTTGGTCACCATTTCAATGACTTTCTCGTTCTCTTTCTTTGTGGTGATATTCAGGATGCTGCGGGTCGGGGTTTCCTGCGTGGCGGATTGGACGTTGGACTTCGTCCGCTCAATGACGAAATCGTGCGAGATCAGATCGGCGAAGACGAAGCCGTAGAATCCGTGCAGCCCGGCGGCATAGAAGGGGCGGTTTGCGATGCGACAGGCCGCATTTATGGTGGTGTATGTAGGGAAGTCAAGCTCGGTTGCGATGGTAATGTCAAACTGGGCGAAGAAGTCGGGCTGTTTGAGGTGGATGTCTTCTGTGTCAATGTGAAGCTGGACGCGCGGGTTCATGGCGCGGACCGAGGGCGCTGCCGCTTGCGCACGCTGTGTTGCGATCAGTATGTGGACAAAGCTTGTTAAGAATGGAACAGCGCACGTTTTGACCCAGGTGTTCTTCATTTATAAAGAATTGCGCGCCCAAGTCCTCTTCTGTCACCACCTCATGATCAACGATGGTCAAGGAGCCAATGCCTGCCAATACCAGATTCTTCGCAACTTCGTTCGCCAGCGACTTGAAGGTGATGAGGAGGATATTTGCGGATCGTAGCCTACGGAGGAATTATCGTCAGCTTGATAATGTTGGTAAACATTGTAGTCAGGTGGGAGAGCTCACTTTTCTTGTGCTTTAACTCCCCAGAGGCGGATCTGGCGATCGTAAAGAGCTATCTCGTCTATTGCGAAATGTCAAACGTCAGCTTCCACACTTAATAGTAGAAGCTCCTCGGAAGTGAGCTATGTTCCTTACCCGCACTGATGGTCTGAGTTGGATCAGGCTGTGGCTCCATTGCGATTGTTCGCGAAGGCTTTCTTTCTTGTCTATGTCGGAGAGCCGGAGGGGGAGTGAGGGGAAGAAGTATGGGACGCAAGACGGCGAATGGAGAGTAGCGGATAAAGGCGGATCGACCAGCAGACGTGTGACTTGCATGCACCTTTACCGTCGGCAACGGGACCTATCTGGAAACCGATCCAGGTGAAAGAGAGACTGTATATGAAGAGAGTGCAAGAAGGGAAGCGGAGAAACAGGCAGGAGTAGAGCTTACCCCAGCATCATCACGTGCATGGGCGATTGAATGCTTTGGGGAAATCAACCAAATCACTTATCAAACCATCCCAATTTCACCCCCTCATCAATCATCCCCCCCAATCTATCATCTCGCCTCCTTCTTACCGCTCATTCATCAGCCTTCATTTTCTTGTTCGAGGCCCTTCCCATGTCACCCCTGTGGCGTTATTGTGTCTCCCCTTCGTCGTCTGCCTAGCTGCTCTTTAATTTGTGTCCTCCGTCATTGCCTCATATCGCGGTATAGTTACTCGGCCTCCGCTTCCGCTTCCGCTCGCTCACTGCCTCCCTCCCGGTGCCCCCCGAGCCATCCCCACTGACTACGAACAACTCACTCTCACAGGATGGTACGTTTGTGAATATAGCCTTTCCTCTGCTGCCAATAGAAGCCTTACACGGCCTAAACATCCATCTGCCACCCCGCTTTGCTGCAGCTATTGACTGGCATATGTACCACTATAGTCGGGGAATTACGACTATCCTCCTGCCTCTCGCCGTCCTTCTCGTGGAGCTCGAACCAATGACCGACAACTACAGCAGCAGCAACAACAACAACAACAACAGCAACCTCCGGTGAATCGTTTGCAGCATCTCCGGGAGCTACTAACCTCGGAGCGTAACCGCGGTGACTTCGCCTTTGCCCGTGCAGTGGAGACCTTAAATCAAGAGATGGACGATTACCGCTCTTCTCGTTCCTGGGACCGTTCTAGCTTTGAGCAAGCCAGGGCAGCCCTCGACCAGCATATGCAACAGCTCCAGGAACGAACGAGGCAAAGCCGTGCCAATAGGGGCAGCTCGGGGCCGCCGATGCGTCCGCGTCCAGCAGTACCAAGACTGCAGCCTTTGAATGTTACAGCGGCGAACCCAGAAGAAAGCGCTTCCGATCTCTCACATTCTGATAGCAGAACTCCAAGGCCCCGGGCGGGTAGGGGTAGCGACCGACCTAATCGTCTAAGACGGCCTAGAGGTTCCAATTCTTCCTCTCTCCTGGATACGCCGGTCCCTCACTTAGACTCTCCCACCGTCATGCCTCAACAGGTCGAAGATGAACACCAGTTGGACCGCGCAAGGACCAAACGTCGAAAGCTTGAGACAGATGATAATAGAGAAGGACTACAGGGCTTCCGCTACGGTCAATATGGCCAGGTGGTGCCTGGAGCACTTAGGATGGAGTTAGCTAGCTGCGATGGGGGAACTTATGACCCGCACGGCGAGAGCTCACTTCCAGAGAATATTCTTCGCAATGACGCTTCCGTATACTGTACGAAATCTGATCGCTGCAATCTTGTTCTGAAACACCATGGGGAGTCCCCGTTCTGCCTGAAGAAGATTGTAATCAAAGCGCCCAGATTAGGCTACAACTCCCCGTATGTTTCGGCTGGGCTAGAAACCCCATCTCAAACTGTCACTAACAATTTCAAAAGGATCCGGGAAGGCATGGTTTTTGTATCAATGTCATGTGATGAAGCCCTAGCTCGTACAGCTGCTTTCGAAGTGCAATGGGAATCAACTCGACCCTTCGCGCGGCATCTACCCAGCGGAATGCAGCCATCCCAGGAGTATCTCAACGCATATCGACCTCCATTGCAGAGTTTAGGTCGGGGGCCAGTCATTAATCACTCCTCGGATTCAGAATCAGATAGTACTGATGAACCCGGCGCTGTAGAACCTAGTGTTAGCAATGTGCCAGACCCCACGTCCGAATTTCGGGTCACAACTGAGTACGGTGTGCAGTCTGACGTACGTCATGACCGGGATGACCATATGGACGACGACGAGCTGCTCTCCCTTACGGATACCGATAGCATTCCCATGGGGCGGATGGACGAGGACAATATAATATGCTCGGACAGTGATATGAGCTTAAGCGACGATGATTCAAATGTCAGCACATTTACACGACGTCAGCGAGAGCTATCAAGACGAATTCGAGCCATGCGTCGCCGCTACGTCGCAGAGCGAGATAGCCAAACAAGGCGACGACCATACCTAGCCATGCCATCACCAGGTCTGCGCCCTGAAGGCACACGTGGCTCAGAGACTCCTCAACTAATGAAACCACATGCTCGCTTTTTCATTGAGCGTAATAAAAGCATGGTCAGCATCAAATTCGATCCTCCTCCGTACGTTCCTTCCCATCATACTCCTCTCAAAAAGTATACATAACTCCCTAACCATCCAATACAGCTCAGGACGATATATCCTCGTCAAATTATGGAGTCCTCACAGCGGCAACAACATAGATATACAAAGCATCATCGCCTACGGCTACGCCGGGACCAGATTCTTCCCTGCCTTGAGTTTCAGGTAAACCAAACCGGTGGGGTTGCTCTTCTTTCTCCTGTCTTCTATCTCCCCGAATCAACAATACCAGAATGTTATCTGGGTCCGCTACTGTAGATTTCACTTGCATACAATAATACAGCCAACCAGCACAACTAGACGAATGCACATTGCGAAAGCTCGGAACGGAACTGCACGGAATGGAACATAATGCTTGGTGTATATGGAGTATGGCGTACATCAACTATTATCTCATGGTTTTCTTTTTCTCAACCTTTTCCTCTTTCCGAACACTGGGACCCGGACTGCTGACATGAACTTATCATCCCTGGGGTTAATTGTTATTGCAGACGCCTTCTTTCATCACATCACATCACATTGCATGCTGTATTCATAAATGATCCATGATCCCATGCATGTCTGCATGTCTGCATCATACCCCTGCTATAACCAATTTCAAATGAAATATGGACATCATCATATAATAAGATAGTTTGTCCCAAACGCAAAGAAATGATTAGATTGTACTCCGTACACTTTTACTATCACCAGAACTACCATTTAAAAGTCACCCGCCTACCTATTGACACCTTCCATCATATTGAAAAAAAAATCGTTAATTTGAAAAAGAAATGGCTATTTATCACTGAATACATCAATCGTCAAAGGCCATGAACAGAAAACACAGGAAGGAGGTCAAGATCACTCAATCCAGCAAAGTAAAATACAAGCAAAGTCATCATCCAACGAAGCCCAGACTAGCATTGCGCCCTTTTCCGCGTTGAGTAAGTCACAAAAAGAAGGAAGGAAAGTGAGATCAGCTCCTGTATACTGGGCCGTCATGTAAAATGAGTGACAAGGGTGAGGATTGTGATTAGACATGAAAAGCCCTGTCTGAGATAGCTCAGGGTCACATGAGTTGAGAGAAACCAGGCCCAAAATGCTATTAACCCATGGAATGGACATGCACGTATCGTTGCCGGATGTTGAGTCCCATACCAAAGGGAAGACCGGGTAGGCCTGCCAAAAGCAGGCTGGTAATCAGCAAGTTGGGGGCTTCCGTAGACGTGGTTTGTCGTTATTAGCTGTTCCTGGAACGAGCCAGGCCAGAGTTTTGTAAACGAGGGGAAAGTATTAAAATGAGCGTAGGAAAAGGAAGCGCCAGGAAGAATGGCATCCCGACGACAATAACCTGAGAATCGTCGGCAGACCGAAACATATGTACAAAGACGGGCCTCGGTCATCTGCAGCCACAGCGTGAAGTGAAACAAAATATGAAAAATTAGCAGGATCAACCCGCTATTAGATTTGTACGATCGCCAACCTGCACAGACAGCATTGCTGCAGGTCAACGTATCTCGAATCGATGCTGTCATTTCTCGTCTCTCGTGCAAAGATCGTCGAACGCCGAGCTTTCCTCTGAAATAGACGTAAATAGTGATCAAGCCAAAATTGTACTCCGGAAAAAAAGATTCCAACTCCGCCCATAAGCAAAGAAAACGGGTTTTTCTTTCCAAGAACGAAATTCAAACGCATATGTGAAGGTTAATTATATGACGACGACATCTCCCTCAGCGTCCGCTGGGTCAGAGACCATCATATCACCATATTTACCAACAGTCATCAGCATCGAATCGTCGTCAAGGTCAATGGCGCTATCATCATTATTGGGAGCCTGGAAGCCAGTAATGCTTTCGGAAACACCGCTAGGCTTCTCGGTTTCCAATGTACTCTGGTTCGATTCGGCTTCCATCTGCGAGCGATGCATTGGTGTCTGCGTTTGAGTAAGGCTCTCCGCTGATGTTAGACTGGCAGCCGACCTTGTCCTCGAATGAGAAGCGTGTTGGGACTCATTCTTGTCCGGCACTGGGCAGTTAGACGGTTTCATGAGGAAGTTGGTTGGCCCCTGCTGGTTTGAGCTCAGGGTTGCGTAGTGCAAGGTGCTTGGGGTGTAACGCATAAATCCTCCTTTTTCGGCCTGCCATAGCATCATTTCATGGAAGAAAACCTTGGTCATCCACCAGGCGCTGAAACTTTGGGCGCCACCTAGAGTCAACCGCCGTAGTATGCAATCCCATAAAGCATCGACTTTGTCGATAATACACTGCGTACTGTGATGGGGGAAGACGGAAGGTAGGTTGAGGATGAATGAGATCCACTTGTCCGGGAAGTTGTAGTCATCTCCCGCAGCCGACTCCACGGGGTACTTGTGTGCCTGGATGTCTTCTTCGGTATCCGGCCGGGTGTAGAATGGAAGGGCGGCAGAAGGATTCATGTCCGCGACAGGAGTAAGCAAAGCTCGAACATCGTGTTTCAATACTAGTGCTGTTGCGCGTTCGGAACAGCGTGGAATATTCGCCTTCACGATCATCTCCTGCGGATCCACCAAGGTTTTAAAGTCGAACCACATTTGATTTCTGTTGTCTGGATGGCACAACCAAGCCGCAGCGGCGTTCGCAGACTGATTCACATCGAGCATGTGCTTCAGCAGGTTGCAAAAGATATGAGCCGGGATTAATCTCGCCTCTGACACATGCAGTGGCTGAGACTTGAATGTATCAGCAATATGGGATGTGAGTTTCTGTGAGATGGAGCTGAAAGCATCCAACACAAGCTTGGGAACGACCTGCGTTGTAAGTGGCGCTACAAAAGCGATCATTTTCTGGTACATTATCCAGTCACATTCCTTAATCCACGGGGCGAGATTCGGGTGCGTCAGCAGTTTCTGAACTGGTACGGTCAACGTTCCATGGAAGGCGGAAAAATATCGTAGCATGTTTCTTTCCTTGCAGTATCTGAAACTGTCAATGACGGAGATGCAGTGTGAACGGTAGAGAGCCGCAAGAGCTGCGGCAATCTTCGAATCCGTATTGGCGGGTAGGTAGTCACTGATATCAGGAAGCTGCAGGGATTCGTTGTCCATCGGGGGAGAGTCGGAAGATGGTAGGTGAAGCATTTGGTGGATCAGCTTTCCCGATGTGCTTGCCATATTGTCAAGTCTGATGGACGAACCACCGTGGGACTCCGATGAAGATTGGCAGTCACATCCTGAAGTAGAAGGGCTTGCAGTGAACTTTGGTGCGAAAGATGTCGTAGGCGAAGGGAATACGGCAGTATCTGCAGGAGGCTGTGGCGCAACACTAACACTGTGATCTATGTAAGTACTCAAATCCGTGAATGAGCCATCACGTGACGCACCTCTTCTGCATCATGTCATCAACTTTGCTTTCAGCGATATTTGCTGCGCTGTTCGTGTTCGAGGGCAATTGTGGATTGAGTGGTGGTGGCTTCTGCTGCTTCTCCTCTATGACAGTGAGGTCCACATAGTGATATTTCGATTCGCCGCGCACACCAAGTCTTCTAGTCTGCACATTTGGGAAGATGATGCGCACAAGCTTGCCAAAGGAAGCAGGATTCAGAACAGACACCCGTTCTGTTCCGCACTTCTCTGCATAGCAGCAGTACACACGATCACGCCGCACTGAGCCGCTGCTCTTGCGGCAGTTCTCCTTCAGCCTAGACTGTCATGAGCAATTTATTCCTATGCATAGAACTGCAATAGACAAATCTTACCAAATCATCGCAAAGACTTGTTTGACTTTCTCGGCCTTGCCTCCAGCCCCTTCATGCTTCAAGACTTCGGCTGCCATTTGCTTCAGCGAATACCCCTCATATTGCCGGAGCAGTTTGCGCAATTCGTTGTCGTTGGCTAGCGACGAGCTGGACCCCTTCTTCTTCTTCGCGCCAGCCTCGGAGATATCATTATCCTCCAGTACATGCTCAGGCACATGGTTCTCGATTCCACTGTCATACATGGCTGTATATTGGGGCATCGGCACGCCCGCCAATCCATGGCTTGGTAGACCAGAAGGGATGGAGTGGTGTGACATATGATGACCATGCATTGCATGACTGGGGAATTCTTCTGCCCTGGGCATCACAGCGTGGTGAGCATCCTGCATGGTCGGATCGAGGGACGCTCCGTTCACAGGGTGCGACAACTGTTGGCCAAATCGCATGATGATATCCTCCGGGTTACCGCCGAATACATTGTGACCAGCAGTGGGTTGGGTGGGCAGGAACTGGGAAAAGCCATCGGCAAGCTGTTGGTCCTGGGTCTGCTGGGTCGTGTTGGAGTGGATGCTAGCCGTCGAGCCTCTGGACCGCGGGCGGCGACTGTTTCTGGATACTACGGTTTCGGAGCGTGATCTCATGAGATCAGCCGTCCCGGGGCGACTGTGAGATGCTACTATTTGGGTTGCTTGGGAAGCGGCGCTCGAAGATTGGGAGGCCGCTCGGGCTGCGGTTCCTGCAAGTTAGCCGGCAGTCCAACGTACAGCAGATGGGGAGGGGAGGCAATCAAGGTCTCCAGGTGCGGAGAAGGTCAGATGGAAGCAGACACGTCGCCTGCAGGAGGGAAGGCAGCTTCTTACCCATCTCAGGAGGCATCTCTTTCTCTTTTAGGATCTGCTACGCTGTGCAGTGTCTGTCTGGGTTTCCTTGTTGCTGGGTGAGAGACGATCGGTAACCACGGGCAATAGCGTCTGTTTTGATCCTTCACGGAGCCACCCTCGACCGCACGAGGTCCACACCGCAAGAAGGACAGCAAAAACGTGAACCAACGGAGCTAGAAGTTGATGAGTTGTCGTCAAGGCATCAAGAGGTGTTGTCGAGCTGAAACAGGCTGGCTATGGAAGGCTCATAGCGGCAGTGTCCAGAAGGTCGAAGTGTGGTGTTCGAAGGAGGATAAACAGAGAAATTGGTTCCTCAAGCAACGACCGGGCGCTTGTTTGGGTCACGCATCACGTGGTGCTTACCTAACTGGCATTCCTCGTCACAAACAAACAGTAACTACAAGTATGTACTCCCGACCTCCTCGTGTTCCGCAAATATATATATGGGTACCTTTATAGTAAAACTACGTACTGATCCTTAAAAACAGGGATACTCTACATTCTTATCTCTATAATAGCCATTATTATACCCTTTTGCTGGCGACATCTTCTAATTGACCGACCTGTCTTCATATAACAAAGCCATCGGTCAGTCACATCAGCCGCATTAGATTATCTAAGCTGAGGCTCGTGACTTCACCGGCCACGTCTAGTCTAGTCTAAACACCAAACAACAGAACTTCTTGCTTTATACTTCCATCTCCATCCAAATGATACTATCTCAACCACCATGTCAAACCTTTCCCACTCACCCATATTGAAGCTAAAAAGCTACGAGGAAGTAATAGCGAGATAGCCGATGAAACTGATCAATTCTTCTATAAATCTAACTGGTATCGCTTGCAAAACAGTGGTATCGCCAAATGCCGCTAAAATAAAACCCATATCAAGAAAGTGTGGGGAAGAATCAAACATTTACTTCACCAGTCCCACTTCACCTTTTTTTTTTCAAGTCCTTTCTCTCCCTAGTTGCCGTTGGCTTTGGCCTTGAGTCTCCTTTCGCGGGCATGTCGCCAGCCAGGACCCCATCGATCTTCGACGTACAGCAACGGAGTCATCACGAGGGTGATGCCGGCAAGCAAGAGGAAAGTATAATCCGGCTTCAAGGCGTCCAGGATAGGTTGCACGATAGCCACACCGCCAGCTCCAAGCAGGCACCGCATCAGATTGTTCACTGCTGTCGCACTGGCGCTAGCACCTGGGTAAAGATCGATGACCAGGGCGCTGTTGATGGTGAAGAGTCCTGTTGAGCAGAACGCAATGAAGTACTGCAGAATGATAGGCACCGCCAGATGTGTCCGCAAAGACACGCCGTACAAAGCAACTGTCACGATGAAGATCGCAATCACCCACCAGGTATTGCGCATCCGGGCGACCTCAATGGGGAAGTCGGGGTGTGATTTCAGATTGACACGTGTGCCTGCCGGATAACCGTGTTTCTCGCAATATTCGCGTTCGGTAAGACGGTGGTTGTAATCCATAAGGTAGCCGACCAGATAAGAGCCAGACATACATCCAAAGCCTACCAGTGCATGAGCGGTCATTCAGGCCAAAAGTGTCGGAGGAGATCATAAAACTTACCATTGCCTAGGAAAGTGAGTCCAATGTCCAGGGATGACAGGCCGTACACTTCGCTGAAGAGGTCGGTGGTACTGGATGTCACCATGCTCCACACTGTGTACACGATACTTCCAAAGAACAGGGTGATGAAAACGTCCTTTTCGACGAGGAATGTCAAAGGAGCAAAAACAGACTTCCAGCTGGTTTTGGTCTTTTTCGCTTCCGGTTGCGCTCCCTCGACAACCCCCGTCTGGCCGGTGATCGTGTAGATGAAGGGCTTATGAATGCCATTGAGCTTCACAGTTCCATTTCCAGCAATTGGTCTCAATGTCTCCGGAAGAAGCACCAGAATGGACAGGAGACTCACGCCTCCAGCAATCGTGAGGAACCAAAAGATAGATCGATATCCGAGATACTGGGTGAAAATGCCGCCGAAAACCGGCCCGATTCCCTGTCCAAGCATGCGAACTTGGTTCTGTCAGCTTCACCATCCAGCAAGCAAAGGGATGTTTTCTAACCTCCACCGAAGATACCCACCAAGCTACCTCTTTCTTCCGAGTTTGTGATATCACCAATCACTCCAGCTCCTAATCTTGGTTAGCGAGATGCTATGCTAGGCTGTGAGATCGCTCTTACCGATTGAGATGGTGGCCGCGCTACCAGCAGCCTGCAAGGCTCGGAAGGCCATGAGCTCACCATAGTTCTTGGATTCGGCCAGAGCAATATTGGCTACGAGGTAAACAATGAATGTTCCAATAAAGACAGGCCGTCTACCTGTGGCGTCTGACATGGAACCCCAGAAGCTGGGAGCGAGGCCTTGGACGATCATGTACACCGTGATGGTGAGTGTTGCGAGCGACATGCTGATGTTGAGGGACTATCATGGTACCGTCAACATGTCAGGTCCAGGATGGCATGGAGCCGAAGTACTTACTTTCGAGACATCATCCAGGGCAGGGAAGTAAATGTTCGACGAAAGCGGAGAAAATATGGCAGCGAGGGAGACGATGCAAACCATTTGCAGCTTGCGAGACCGTGTGAAGATATGATGCGGTGGCTTCTCGGATGACTGAGCCTCTAGGGTCGAAGGCTCCGGAGAGAGGGATCCCTTATCGGAGTCACTGTCTCTAGGGATGACCTGTGGTACGGGGACCTTTTCAAGGTCTGATCTTGATGAAGACGTGGTTGAAGACATGATTGTGGATATGACTCGGGGGCCAGCCTCGAAGCACGTTGGCAATCTGTGAATCAGGAATATCAAAGCTGAGATTGCAAGACCAGAAGTGCGAGGCCAATGCACTTTATGTTCCGGAGTTTTATAATTGATCTGGCACTGGGCCAAAACATCTTCGAAAACTCGATTAAAAAGCAGATGCAGGATTACTCCACTGCGGAGCAACTTGGACAGACGGGGGGCTATCCATCATCAATGACCTTCCCAAAGCGGGCAAATGTGGGTGGCAAGAGCCGGTGTTATCGCCAAGGTATGAACGGAGACGTGGGTTTAGGAGTTTCTCTTCGGCCGGTCTTACTTGGCGACCAGTAGTCTAGGTCACATCCGAGAGAGTCCAAGCCGTCGGGCAGCCGACGAAGAAAGAGGGAGAAAAAAAAATAAAATTGAAAGGACAAAAGGGCGGAGCTACCAAGATCTGCATACATGACGTGGGCCCGGCGTGGTGATGAAATTCCAGAACAAGCATGCTTTCCAGGCCATCCTGGACTACGACTAGCGCCTGCACCTCAAGAGCTGACGGATTTAGTCAACTTAGCATACAGATTTCCAGCGAATGGTGTGTTTGAAGGACCGGGCACGCCTGTCATGCGCAAGGGTCTAGATGGAAGCGGAGCCCGTGATAAGGGAGCTGAGCAGGCTATTCAGTGGCGCCGTGGCGGAGCGTTGGGCTACATGGTATGGAGTAGATAGGCCGTCGACTCTTCTCAGCCAACATCTCCCACATGTGTTGACGGAGAAGGCTGTCTCCCACGCAGAAGCTAAGCTGTGATCAACACGGAGAGGCCCGATGCAACGCGAGACGGCAAGGCAGGTCATCAATTGACGACTCAGGGCGCCAGGGTCCCTATCCCCCCTCTTCAGGAGGAGTAGTTGTAGGAAACAGGGAGCACGCACGCGCACCAGTATGAGCAATCTGAGATCAGCCTGATTGGCGAACTGCTCAGGTGTAGTGGGTTACTATGGATCTCGGGGATCTACATCAGGCCCATACGCACTAAGAAGGGGGGTGTGGGAGGATGATTGCATGGGAGGCGAGGACCAAAAAAATCGAGTGCGACGCCCAGACAACAAAATTTCTCGGGATGGATCCTTGACAAGCTGGCCAGCCTCGCTGGGCTGGTTCCACCGTGGCTGCAGATTGCGGAATTGGGGGTGGAGTGAAGCTATACCAAGACATCCTGAGAGAGCTCCCACGGGAGTCGCAAACCACAACTCCACAGGTAAGGTGCACCTGATTGGGGTCAGTGCGGGAGGTCTACGTAACAGTTGGTAAGCTTAAATATGAGACAAGTAGAAATTGCCATCAGGGGAGGTGGATAGGGAGAAAAGGAGTAGCTGCGCAAACAGGATCACAGTGGAAGTGAAGCAAAGGAAATACAAGATGGGGGGATTTCAACAGGGAGGGATGCATAATAATAGAAAGTGATGACGAAGATGCCGTGAGGATTTGAGGCACCAATGCATGTAAATCACCAAAACGGATAGTGTAGGGAGGTGTATGGAGTGTCGGAACACGCAGAGCAAGAGGGTCTGAGACTGATTGATCGCAATAGTGTGGTTGACGACGTAGATCGCGGATGGAGCAAGATGAGACCTTGAACTGGATCTCCACCAACTTTCTCCTCTTCCTCCGTGGGACTCCGTTCTACTATCTACTACTAACAGTACTAACTGTCGACAGGAATAACTGTGCTGAAGGGCTAACCTCACTAGTAGCTGTTCATCAGCCCCCCGAAAATCAAATTCGATAGATAATAATAACGACAGCGGAACAATTTGCTCTACCATCATGCTAACTATGTAACCGAACGACGACTACATATTTCACCGAATATTCTCCTCTCCCTTTCATCTCCTAAGCGACTACAATTATAACTTATGCCAAGGATCACAAAACAAAACATTAAAAAAAAGGAATCTTTTGCCAAGAGCACACCCTAATTCTTCCTTGATAAGAAGGTTAAATACTACTACTAAATCAGCACTAAAACTACCCATTCCTTCCTTCCATCCTCACTGCGTCGTCCTGCACTAGCGCCGGAACCGCGAACTAAACAAGCAAATCAGGGGTCTCAAGCACACCATAACGTCCCTTTTTCCTCTCTTTTTGGCCCCCCTCTCTCTTTTTTCTCTTTGATGATCATCGTAAACCGAGTGATCCGGCAGTAGTGAGCGGATATCATAATAAAACAAAAATGATCTTATTTTTTTCAAAGAATTATTCTTCTTATTCTTATTATCATTTGGGCATCACTATCGTGACCACTGTTCGTACCCTATTATATAACTAAACTACTTCAGGGCAAACCACAAAGGATCAATATCTATCCATCCTACAATCTAACTAACTACTATGATTATAGACTAGTGGGTGGCTCAGCAGAGATATTTCTTCAACTAGTAACAGTAGCTTCTTAAAAGTGATTTATTTATCTACTTCAGGCTCAGACTCAGACCTTCCCCCACCCCCCTCCCGAATCACCAATTCCGACTGGTTAAAGTTCCCTGCGAAAGTGGAGGCGATGATCTACGCCGGCGGCCGCCACTTGAGACGGGCGGTCAATCGGGAGGCGTCCACTGTTTATCGAGTCTAGTTTGTTTGGGCTGGTTCTGTCGTCTTGTTTCTTTCTTGGCGGTGGTTCGGATGGCTGATGTTTGAGGAGGTGTGTGTTGTGTTGTGTGGATTTGTGTTGGATTATGTGTTGTTGTGTTGAGACGGTGAGGATATTAATTCTTCAACAACCCTCGTAGAATTTATGATTCATGCAGTGAGTATCGACTATTCTTCGTATTCAATGCCACCACCATTACTGTGGAGAGTACCTTCTGGACCGCCATCGGGATCTAGACAGGAGCCGACTGAAGAAAAATTAAATATAATAAAAAAAAAATAATATAAAACCATAATCATAATTCAATTAAATAAAAAAAATAAATAAATAAATAAATAAAATAATGGGATAGACTAGGACTAACTAGGTTATTGTTTTCACGGCGCGGCCCTTGTTCAACCAACTCAATTCGATCCGGTATCTTCCGTTCTTTGCTTTGCCTAGAAACTCTACATCTAGTAGTTGTGTAGAATACTTGTGGTTAATCCGTCATTATGCACTTACATATTTAGTACATGTCAGGACCTGCAGATAAAAGAAAAAGAAATGAGCAGAAGAGAAGAAGCAACTTTGAATATTTATTCATTACTTTTGTGCCTTTGTCAACTTACTCATTCTCCTTTAGCGAGGTTCAACTAACTAACTAACTAGCTACTAACTTCTTACTGTAATCAATGATCCCGCTCCCACCCTCCGTTTGTGGCCAAACCTGAGAACCAGTCAGATTGCACAGCCCGGGCGAAGTATGTATGCATGCATGCCTCGCTGCATGCTTACACGACCGGTTCTGCCACACAGTTTAGATACCGACCTGTTGTGTCACTATCTTTCGGTTCTGACACGACAAGACTCTTGGCCTAAGGCCAAGAAAGGCCCAGGAGTAAGAAAAGCCCAAGAAGAAGAACAACTAAAAACTAGAATTGGTTGGGATTGTCTTCCAAGGCTCGGGTATGCAGCCAAGACAGCACGAGAGAATACAAAGTAGAAAATCTTGCAGGGCCTTGATCTTGTCGTTGGTGTTGGTGTTGTTGTCGTTCTCGACCTGTCTATCTATCTGTCTGTCCGTCTACCATACTGCAGTACGTATCAATTGTTGGTTAGGCTGCAATCGGTGATTGTCATGACATTCTTGCGCGCATCTGCTAAGTTAGTAGGATGTCGTCACATCAATATCACTATACGCTAGTCATCACAACCACTAGCTAGATAACTATCTCGTATACGTCTATAGTAGCAGCATGACAGACCTAACCTAGCACTACTACTATCAACAAATTCAAGAAATAATATACATATATGCACTTCATCTATTTTTAATACCCGCAAGGTTTGCGCAAGTACAACACTGTCATCATCATTCTTATCTTCAAGCTCGAGCACCCAACAGCCCCGACAGATCAGATCAATTAACATACTTGGTATAGCGTATATGTATTCTTCACATGGGACCTGGCAGACACATATACCTTTCTCCTCTTTCCCACAAGCTCTCTCTCTCTCTCTCTGCCTATCATTTGCAAAGTACTTGCTTGACGTGCCGATATCTGAGACATCCCCATCCATCCATCATCCTTCCAAACTTCCATATGCCCGTTTGTAACCATTCACATAACAATGATAAAGATAGAGACACATACCCTAAACACACGGACACACACACACAAATAAATAAATATACATAATACGCAGATAGATAGATAGATAGACAACCACCCCTGCTAGTAACTCTTCACTAATCCTGCACCTATATGTCTTGGCTGCATCCCGAGAGGAGGGGCAATTAATTTCTTCCCTTTTTTGCTTGTCCCGTTTCCTCCTTCCCCCCCTCTCCCCTCTTCGCTTTTCTTCTGTTCGCTTCGCTTCCAAGTACGCAATAGAACGCACGGGAAAATAATCCCTGTCTGTCTTGCCGATGCCGACACAAAGGAATTATCTATCTATCTGTTTCGTCTACCTCGGTAGGTTGCTCGGTATGGTGTTTTCCCGTCGGAAGGAGGGGGTTTGTGCACAATAGATGCTTTCTTTTCTCTCTCTCTCTCTCCAACTATAGAATAAAAAGTGGGAGTTGTGTTACACAGACGACTTATCTATTTAGACTGTCAAGTCTATCAATCTATACAATTTCTATGCTTAGGTAGCTTTCAATAGGATGGTGATATTTCTTCTTCTACATACTAGTATAAGTATGTCTATTGAAGTTAAGTAGTAAATGCACCAGTATCTGTCACTCTCCACCCGGCACCTCCTCTTCAAACCCATCACAAGCCACTAACTAACAACAATCCAACCACCTCAATCACTAAAATCCAGGGTATTCCCCCCACAACCCGAGACCCAAGAGAAATACGACATCGGGAAGCCGACGGACAGACCGGCATGCAGACAGAGCAGACACACGGGACAGGGGATGTTTCAGCTGCTAGCTGTTTAGTTAACAAGATTGGGCCGCAAAGAACAATAAGCTAAGAAAGTAGCTAAGCCATCGATATTAATTGAGAGACATTAGTATCCCGGGATATGACCCCCAAGACGCGGCTAACTAAAAAGTACTACGTACACAAGTAAAAAAGTAGCGTAGCTAGTACGATAGTCTAGACCAGGACCCCAACCAAGCATGCATGATTGCATAATCCCAATAAACAGCAGACGCGATAACAACAGAGAAACATGATTGATTGGCCTTACAAGGTCGATGGGGGTAGATGATGTGCACAGCCTGATCTCTAGGTACTCACATCACTAGCTGAAGTATATTCTTGTTGTTGTGCGCTGAATAATGATTGATGATGGAAGTGATTGTCTGTTCCCGGCTGCTTGAAGCGGCAAGTATCATCAATCCATCGGATAACTCCTGCTTCTTGTTTGCTGGTCCCGGCCCGGTGCCAAGCCCCAGCATTCCCGAAACATGGGCTATCTGCTCGGCCACACTGGCTGGGAGGATTCCGGGTATGTCCGATATTCCGAGTCCTTTTGGTTTAGTTGGTCTGTGAGTATGTGTGTCTGTGTGTGTGCTTGGTGAGAAGGTTTTCAAGGTGTGTCTTCAGTCATCCAGTCTAGTCTAGTCTAGTCTTCAGGCAACCATCCTTCAGCGACTAGGCTTCTACTTAGGCGGGCTTGCACGTTGGCAACTCCATTTTATTGAGTTTGGACCCTGCCATGCTGGGTAGTACCAGATTCGTCTAGATTAATCTACTTGCAGGATTTCTGCTACGGAGTCCGCAGGTTGCAATAACTACTGTGTAGATCATGACTCCTACTAGACATCAAAGCAAAGCAAGAAAGAAAACTTCAGACGAAATTTACACAAGTGAACCTAATTACTTCCTTGCATCTCTAAACATAGGAGATATATCGACGAGAAAAAAAGATGAGAAAAATGAGACCAGATATAAGAGACAAAAAGTACAGTGTGGCCGCCATGGCTCGGACATAGAAAGGGAGTCGTCTAATAATAGAGGGATGGAGGGGAGGGGTAGAGTCAAAACTCCCGCCCATACTGGGCGAATAACTCTGGTGAGTTCAACCCAGGAACCGGCAGGGTTCAAAGAAATGTCTCCGCCTGCGTGCAGATACTGTTATCATTTCGTCTAGACCAGGTCCCTCTTGACGAATTCGTTCAGGAGGGCCTTGCCCAGGGAAGCGGGGCTGCGCTCGACAACAACACCAGCCGCCTCGAGAGCGGCGATCTTAGAGTCAGCGCCACCCTTGCCGCCGCTGACGATGGCTCCGGCGTGACCCATACGACGGCCCGGGGGAGCGCTAATGCCGGCGATGAAACCAACGGCGGGCTTGTTGTACTTGTTGTTGGCCTTGAGGAACTCGGCAGCATCCTCCTCGGCGCTACCACCGATCTCACCAATCATGATGATACCGTCGGTCTCCTCGTCCTCGAGGAAGATCTTCAGGCAGTCGATGAAGTTGGTGCCGGAGAAGGGGTCACCACCGATACCGACGACCAGGGACTGACCAAGACCAGCCTGGGTGGTCTGGTTGACGGCCTCGTAGGTCAGGGTACCGGACCGAGACACAATACCGATACGTCCACGCTTGTGAATGAATCCAGGCATGATACCAATCTTGCATTGGCCCTACACATCGCAAATTTCACCATTAATATCTTGACCCCTGTCCAAAAGGATCGCCTAGTGGTTTTTGGATGCGACTTACAGGAGCGATGATACCAGGGCAGTTAGGACCCACCAGACGGGTCTTGTTCTGCGTCTTCAGGATATCGGTGATACGAACCATGTCTGGTTGATTGTTGGTCAGTCCTACACCCAACATGCAGAGATCGTCGACGCTAAGTCATGGCTAATAAACATACCGTGCTGAGGGATACCCTCGGTGATACTATCCCGGTTGTTAGCACATGCTGGGTTGTTCTATCGTCATTGAGAAGGAGTCGCCTACCAGACAGCCAGAGGAATTTCGGCCTCGATGGCCTCCTCGATACCCTTAGCGGCCAAGGGGGGGCTAGAGTCATGGAATTAGCAAATGATCCTTCTTTCCTCGATTAAGACACCGGATGCATACGGGACGAAGAGAGCAGTAGCGGTAGCTCCAGTCTCCTTAACGGCCTCGCTCACGTTCGCGAAGACGGGACGGTCAAGGTGCATCGAGCCGGCCTTCTTCGGGTTGGTTCCACCAACGACCTTGGTGCCTAGCAGTTGTGAGTTTCCCATGTGAAACCGCCGGAGACACCTATCTAATTGGTGCAGACGTAGGAAGAGATAATACCATAGGCGATAGCTTGCTCAGCGTGGAAACTGCGGAAAGACGAAAAATGGCAACGTCAGCATGTCATGCATGATAAACAGCGTTCCCTGCGGATCGGGCAAAAAAGACGTACGTTCCCTGCTTTCCAGTGAAACCCTGGAAGATAACCTTGGTGTCTCCATTAATGCGAAGGTTGTTCACAGTCTCAGCGTAAGCCGGGCTGGCCGAGGCAGAGTATGCCCGGCGCTGCGTGGCAGCAGCATTGCGAAGGGCAGCGACGGTGTTACGGCGGACGGCCTGCATGGTTGTTTGAGGGAAGGGAAGAAACCCGGTAAGGGGAGATCGGAAAAGAGGGGAGAGGTGTGAAAGTGAAGCACTACGAAGGTGCAAGAGGGTTCGTGGTTGAAGATAGAGAAGAGAGAAGAGAGTAGCCGTTTCAAACGCGCCGGACAGATTCGCTTTGGGGAATTTCGGGACAAAGCTTTAAGCGGATCCGAGTTGTCACGGGCGGTCGGTTGCCTCCCTCGGCCTCGCTGCTCTTTTTTTCCTGTTGCCGTTGTGCTGTTCCGCCGCATCTCCCCCACATTAACTTAGCTCTACGCTTCTTTTTTCGGTAGTGGCTATCCAAGATCCAGATCTAGACTTTGTATCTTTACTGATTTGGCTGGTTGATTGATTTTCCTGCTTGTCTTTCCTTTTTTCGCCCCGTCGCGCAGTTCGCGTGGTGTGCCATTTCACCTCCTTCAAGATGGCGACCGCTACCATGACTATGCCGCCACCCCCCAAGGCTAAGAAAAATGCCAAACTTCCCCCGGAGAATGAACGTTTCATGAGAGCTTGCTCCGATATTGCGAATGCCCTGATCCAAGAATATGAAGCGCAACGCGATCCCAAGAAACCCAAGAGAGATATCAACCTCAACAAACTGCGGGGTCAAGTAGCCAAAAAGCATGCCCTGGCTACACAACCCCCATTGACGGCCATTATCGCGGCCGTCCCTGAGCACTACAAGAAATACATCCTTCCCAAGTTGATTGCGAAGCCCATCAGTATGTCTGCGCCTTGTCTCCCTGCGCGTAACCTTTCTAACACACTCTGCCAGGAACCTCGTCCGGTATCGCGGTTGTCGCGGTCATGAGCAAACCCCATCGTTGTCCCCATATTGCCTACACCGGAAACATCTGCGTCTACTGCCCTGGTGGCCCTGATTCCGACTTTGAGTACTCTACACAGTCCTATACCGGATACGAGCCGACCTCGATGCGTGCGATCCGCGCCCGGTACGATCCGTTTGAGCAGGCCCGAGGACGTGTGGACCAGATCAAGTCTCTGGGTCACAGCGTGGACAAGGTGGAGTACATCATCATGGGTGGAACGTTCATGTCTCTGCCGGAGGACTACCGTGAGTCGTTCGTGGCTCAGCTGCACAACGCGCTCAGTGGATATCAAACGGACAATGTCGACGAAGCGGTACAGGCTGGTGAGATGAGTAACGTGAAGTGCGTGGGTATCACAATCGAAACAAGACCGGACTATTGTCTCGACCAACATTTGAGCAGTATGCTCCGCTACGGATGTACTAGATTGGAGATCGGTGTCCAGAGTTTGTATGAGGATGTCGCCAGAGACACGAACAGAGGTCACACTGTCGCGGCTGTCGCAGAAACATTCAAGCTTGCAAAGGATGCCGGCTTCAAGGTCGTCAGTCATATGATGCCGGATCTGCCCAACGTGGGCATGGAGCGTGACCTGTTCCAGTTCCAGGAGTACTTCGAGAACCCGGCTTTCCGAACGGATGGTCTGAAGATCTACCCCACGCTGGTCATCCGTGGAACTGGTCTGTACGAGCTATGGAGGACGGGTCGCTACAAGAACTACACGCCAAACGCCCTGATCGACCTGGTCGCCCGCATCCTCGCTCTGGTGCCCCCGTGGACGCGTATCTACCGAGTCCAGCGTGATATCCCCATGCCCCTGGTGACCTCGGGAGTTGAGAACGGCAACTTGCGCGAACTGGCCTTGGCACGCATGAAGGACTTCGGAACTACTTGCCGCGACGTACGGACCCGTGAAGTCGGTATCAACGAAGTTAAGAACAAGATTCGCCCATCCCAAGTCGAACTGATCCGCCGTGACTACACAGCAAACGGAGGCTGGGAGACATTCCTCGCCTACGAGGACCCCAAGCAAGATATCCTGATCGGTCTGCTGCGTCTGCGCAAGTGCAGCCCAACCCACACCTTCCGGCCCGAGTTTACCGGTCAGCAGACCAGTATCGTGCGCGAGCTGCACGTGTACGGATCCGCCGTTCCTCTCCACGGACGTGACCCGCGCAAGTTCCAACACCGCGGATTCGGAACTCTGCTCATGGAAGAGGCAGAGCGGATTGCCCGCGAGGAGCACGGCAGCACGAAGATCAGTGTTATCTCTGGTGTCGGTGTGCGCAGCTACTACGCTCGTCTGGGATACACTCTCGACGGACCGTACATGTCCAAGATGCTCGACCCGATTGAAGACGAGGAGTTTTAAGCGACTGTCAACAGACAAAACTACTTATGACTGTGAATGATGCGCATTGTTGCAGCGCAACAACAACAAAATATACTCGAAACACAAAAGTCTTCTTTTTATCTTCCGTTCTCTCAATCATCTGGTTATCTATCTGCACGCGGCGTTGCACGGGGTTGGTTCTCCATTTATGCTGTTATTCAGGGGAGCAGTAGCGAAATCGGTATATACCAAAAATGGGCGGGATTAGAGAACCTTGCATTGTACATATGGCGCATGAGCCGATTTGCTTGCCTACTACTACTACTACTACTATCTTTATGAGGATGAACGATACATGTCACATGTGTTTCTGCACTTTGAACCTATCTGTTACAGATGGCACTTGATAGTATTACTCGAAACGAACTGGACAGTAGAATACGCTGATGGATGAAGAACGATGGATTGATTGTAACTGCTAACACACAAGTTCTATTCGAACAAAGACTATATACATATACAACCCGCAAATACACCAGAAAAGAACCGTGCAAGAAAAAAAATCAATCGATCCAAAACATCACATCACATCAAAACTGAAAGCTAATAATAATCAATCGATCAATAATCCAATGCCATTCCGGCTTTATGATAGACAAGCGAGGATGGTGAGTGAGCCTCCCACGATCAAATTGTCATACGTAGCACAGCACACGCAGACAATATGGTCATTCCTTTCCTTTCCCCTCTTTAACTTCCAGAGGAAGTATGCCCTCCTGGAATAGGAGATATGGTACATCTAGCGATGATACATCCGCATCTGCATCCATACCCCTCCTCTTTCTCCAGCAAGACGACGAAGCGACGCAATCCACCCTAAGCCAACCTCGAATTCGCAAAGCAATGTTGTTGAATATCATTTAACTCAACGATATAGCGCCGCCCCTCCGGGCCCTCATGTGCAAGTAAGCCTGGAAAGCGCAGAACACGAAGAAAGCCTATACGGTTAATCAATCGGTTAGCAATCCATCGTTTCTCTTCCTCTGTATTCCTCTTCTTGTCTCGTCCATTCCAATCCAAAAATGTAAGAATACGGGATATCAAACATACAATATACACCAACACGGCCGTGAAAATCGAAGCTGCGACCGCGGCGCCATCTTCAGGTTCGCCTTCGGAGCCAGTGAAACCGGGGTGTTCGCTCTGTTCCATGACTCTTTGTCAGATTACTGCTTCTTTTGGGCGATAGAGAAAATTTGATACGGTATAAAACGCACCTTGTATAGCGATCCCAAAACGGAGAGGATAACGATGGCGAAGACGGAGATGACCACGCTATTCAATGTCCTTGTATTAGCTAGCTAGTTCTGGAGTTGCGCTGTGTTGATATAAGGCGGACATACCAGGACCATGCGTTTAGGGCTGAGACGACGGGCTTCATCTTGAATGGTGTGATATGGTTGGAGCAACCTCGGGGGTGAGAGAGGGAGGAAGAGTCGGGAGTGGCTGGCTGGCGCGGCTCGGGTGGTTGACGATGATACGCTTTCCGATGAGATAATGGAACGTGCGGCCTAGTGATGGGATGTATCGGTTGCTGACACGGATAAAGGAATGATGGAACTTTCAGTCTGCCTGTCCAGGCTGCTGTTGAGAGGGGGGATGAGGCCGTTGATGTCGTTGGATGATGTCGAGGATCGCAGGTGCCGGTGGAGACCTCCGGTGTGTTGGCGCTAAGCTGTTTTGGGGCGGGCGGTTGTGTGTCGAGACTTGTTGTCCGCGTCATGGTGTTGCACTTGATGGTTATACTTTGTCCCGTCAGGGGAGTGAGTCTTTCAGTGATTCACATGAAGGAGGTGTTTATTTATATCGTGTGCATGTGTTTTACTTTTTCTTTTAATATTATGCGAGCTGTGTTGGAAGTAGTAATACTTTAGTTTCATTCATGTCCTCAGTATTGACTGGAATATATATACATCATCTGCCATGTCTCATGTCTAAAAATTTGACCACGATTTCGTTCAGTTATTCAACGACCACACCCTAGTGCGCCTTGTTCCATTCTATACACTCATCAAACGTTACCCCGGAACCACCAAAGATATCCAACGCACTTCCAATCGTCAAATCTACCTTCCCTTGGCTGCTGACGTGAACCTTCTCCAGATCCTGAAGATTCCGAGCACCTCCGGCATAGGTGATAGGGATCGTGCACCACTGGGACAGCTTGGACACGAGCTCCTCGTCAACGCCCTGTTGCAGACCCTCGACATCTGCAGCGTGAATGAGGAACTCGGAACAGTAGGGCTCCAAAAGTGCAATTGATTCTGCCTCTGTTAGTTGTACTGAGCCAATGACTGACAGCAGAGCAAGAAAGAGGATGTGTAGTAAACAACAGAGCAAGCAAAACCACAACAACAAAGCATCAATTTCAATTCCAGAATTGCTTACCTTGAGTGATTTCCATCTCAGTAATCGTCTGCCAGCGATTCATAGCCACAAACCACGTATTATCCTTCTTCCTGCAGCTCAGATCCAAGACCAGCTTAGATCTATCACCATCCAGCGCAGCCAGAACGGACTGTAGCCGCTCAAGGGAGAATTTGCCCTCCGGGAAGAGGAACGATGTGATAATAACCTGCAATTGCAACATCAGCCATCATACTGCGCAACAACCACACAACCACCAAGCCAAAGCAATACCCAACAACCCAACCCCCGCCCGTCCCCCATCCATCCATACACACCAACAGAACAAAACCTAGAAGAAACAACTAACCTTCTCAGCTCCCATGTCAATCCAATACTTCGCATTCTTATCCGTAATCCCCCCCGCAACCTGCAACCCAGCAGGCCAAGTCTTCAACGCCTCCTTGGCAGCCTCATCGTTCCCGGGCCCAAGCATAACAACATGCCCACCCCTCAAATCATTTTTCCTGTACAATTCCGCATAGTGGCTGGCCGGCAACTTCGACACATAATTCGTCTTCAGGTCCGCTGCAACACTGCTCAACGTGCCGCCCACTATCTGCTTCACCTGGCCGGAGTGTAGATCAATGCAGGGACGAAATTTGGTCATTTTGATGAGATTCTCCACCACAATGCTTGCTCAATTGATTTCGTATGTCTAATTAGTACTGATGTGAATGAATGAACTCCATCCATTCCCCCCACGGTTTTGTGGAAATCCGACGAGGGGTTGCGCGGGTTATCTTATCTACACGTGATAGGAATCATGTTTGGAGGTAGATGGGTTACATAAGCGGCTGGATTACGGCAAAGTCGTCACTTATCGCGCGCATTATTTTTTTCCGCCGGGACGGTGGTCGGTCGTTCAGCATTTAATTGTTTGTTTTACCAGCAGCAGCACAAGGAATTGAAGATGGTTGGAAAGCGCAAGAGAGACGCTGCTGTTGTCTCCAGGACTACGAAGGTGGATAAGGAGGAGGAGAGGACGACGTCACAGACTGCGACGACTGATGCGTCTGCTGCGGACGTTTTTCGCAAATTCTTTGAAGCGCAGTTTCAACCGTTGGAGGTGCCTGGGGGCCAGGTGACTCGCAATGATGAGTCGGATGAGGAAGAGAGTGAGGACGAGGACTTTGAGGAGGGATCTGAATCGGGCTCTGATTGGGATGGCCTTTCCGGAGAGGAAGATGAGGCTCCGGTTGAGGTAGTTGAGCATCGTGATATCAAGAGTCAGGATTTAATGGACAAAAAGGCGCGCAAGGCGTTTATGGTACGTCTACGAGATTTGCTTGTGCTGTCGTGGCTTCTTTACTAATTCGCCTTTACTAGACCTCGAAACCGCCCTCATATTCCGAAGAGCCGAAGCCTGCGAAAAAGAAGGCCAAGAAGGAAAAGAGTGACGATGACGAGGAGGATGCCATGGATGCGGATAATCTGAAGAATGATCTCGCCTTGCAACGGCTTCTGAAGGAGTCCCACCTGCTCGAGTCAGCAAACGAACTTGCGCCAACCGGTAAAAACCGAATCAAGGCTCTTGATCTGAGAATGCAGGAACTGGGGGCAAAGGCGTCTCTGTATAAGCAGAAAATGCCCACAGCGCACAGAAGAGGTATCAAGGAGAAGGCAGACATGAAGGAAGATAGGCGTCGACGTGAAGCCAAGGAGAACGGTATCATTCTCGAGAAGCCCGCACCCAAATCAAATCCAGCCAGCACCAAGCGTCGGGAGCGCGGTGTCGGAGGTGCTTCTATCGGAAAATTTGCGGGTGGTGCTTTGAACTTGAGCAAGCGTGACGTGGCCGCCATTCAAGGCCCGCGCCGCACGACAAAGGGCAAGGGCAGAGGCAGAGGACGTCGTTAGACCTGCCTGAGAGACATGAATGGCAGTACTAGCCACGCCTGACACCACTCCCAGTCAGATCCTTTCATGTCCCGTGCGCGCCCGGAGCGCGGCGCCCTGATTCGACATGGGTTGGCTGTCGACGTATCCTAGCCCCAGTAATTCTTACCGGAAGAGGGGTTGTAGTCTAGTTTCTTTACATGAGGAACTCTCTATCAATCCTTCGCCCTCCTTCTGTCCTTCGGCTGTTTCACTAACACGCCCCGACCCCTTTGTGAAGGTTGACCGCGACCAGAGATGTTGTGATAGGTCGGGAACGAGTCCTCGATGTGCGTCAGGAAAGGGGAGAGCAGAACGATGCGCCCGCTCGTAATGAGGACGTCGAGATGGCCCTGGCGCTCATGCTGGCCGCAGCCTTGATTCAATGCTGAAACTTCTGATTTGCCCACTCAAACCTTATTCTCCGAAACGCCTCAAGACCAGCCTGCAAAGCACGTTCCAATCGCACTAAACTATGCGCGAGACCGAGCACGCTGTTCCGAATACGGTGATATCCCCGAGTCGAGCTAAGGTTTGAGGACGAGACCCCCATTTCTGAGACAACCTATGGTCTTAGGATGTTTGAGAAGGTCGACCGACATGAGAATACCCCAGAGGTTGGCCAGTTTTAGCCGCTAAGTGCTGTCTATAAACAGCTGAAGCACGAGTCATCCTAGATAGATAGATCCTGGAAAGCGTCTAGTCTCTTATCGAGCAAAAAATAGAACGTCTCCATCTCGTATAGATATAGGGGGTGAAAGAGTGTCGCATGAACCGACTGTGAACAAGACTTTTAGTACTTGTTAGCTTGATTCCCTAGTGAACTACTATCACGCACACGTCAGTTCTTTCCAGTATAGCACTCACCAAATGTTGAGTCGTCAAATTCTAGCTTATCATCTGATCAGTCACACTCCTTTTTTCTCCCCCCATCTCACGCTCGGCCTCGGCTTAAGCCAGCCTAGTAAGGACTAGTAGTTAGCCAGTCTGATATGATTGAGTTTGCCAGTTCTGCGGCTACAAGGCACACCGATCTGCTACTAGCGGATAAACGTCCCACCTTCAGGCAGTTCCTCTGTCTACTATGTAATTAGTTCCAGTGTACCGGGGTACCTGCATGAATAATCCAATAATAATAGGTTAGTGCAAAAGCGGTTCCGTGGTTCCAATTCTCTAGTTCAGGTACCGCTGCCGTGAAGGGGAATGGAGAAGCCGGGAAAGGAGGAAAATAAAAATTGATGCGAATTGCTAAGCGTCAATATTAGTGACCCTTATTGCCATGCATCCATCCGGTTTCGTTAGTCATCTCCCACTAAAATCTGCATGCTCGTGCCGTTGCACGAACCACAATCCATTAGGCGGGACAGGGAGACATCTTCGTCGTTTCAGATTCTGCACGTAACCCTTCCGAGCAGCGTACTTTAACACTTGCACCGGAATCGCTTGGAAATGTCGCTTAGTACGAGTCAGAAGTCCTGAGTCGTGACTCGTGGATACAGGGTGGTTGGTGCCTTCTGAAGAGTCTAGACGATGCCATGCCAGCGGACTCTGTAATCCTTCCGACTACACTTGGCATTTATCATTCCTTAAGCGGAAGTCTGCCGAATCCCGTATGAAGCTAGAATGGTGTGTATAGCGTGTCGTTGTTGATGACATGATGCAGGTTTGGACTATCAATGTCTAGTGACAGAAATTGCCGCTATATGCTCCTTCATGCAGGAACGTAAAAAAGAATGCGTAACCCCCGCTTTTAGTGCTAATTTATCTTCTTGGCAGCTTGACAATGCGCTAGCTGGTGTGATTAGACCCATCGATATCTTTTCACTTAGAAGACAGGTATGCTGGAGAAAAGTCACCTGTGGTCCTTGATATTGAGAAGTCGACAATGCGGAGGATCGAGAGACAAGTGTAAGCTAGCTGATCGATCTACGACCTGGGCAGAAAGTTAGTAGAAAAGAAGTGGATTCGCGGACACGGAATTCCAGCTTTCTCCGTTGGTCGCCATACAGCATATAGGCTAATACCGAAACCCGAGGTTTAAACGGCGAGAGGATAAGGCCGCTGATCATCTCCATTTCGATATATCCGGCCATTCCATTTTGTTGACTGGCGGAGCGAGATTCTCCAGGGAGCCAAAGTTGTTCTTTTGGGTCTCGGAAGGTTTGTTAACATGGTTCGCGGATTTATATCAGTTTGTGGGATAGTCTGACTGAAGTCAACAAGCGACTATTGTGTGTGTGCGCGAAATATTGGGTGGAGGAAGCCGACGAAGACTGGCCTACTAACCAACGAACGTATCGGCAATCCGGAAGAGATAGGTGCACCAGGCTGGGAGGATCAGTATGGAGACGGCGCATTCGCTGCGCATTCCACTAAGGACCTGACAGTTAGTTGTAAACAGAACCCGGATGGACGCGACTCTAAGCTCCCCCGCACGTTCTCGAGTCAGGCTGGGAGGTTTCATCTTGGACACTACTCCAGCTTAGCTTCATCGCTAGATACGAGACACAAGCGATCACCAGAATAGGCAGTAAAGATGTAGAAAGATGGACTTAGCGTTGGTCCGGCCTCTGTTTGATCGTCCTGAGCTGCCCATCTCGTATCCCCGACAGGTAGCAGTGCAGGCCGAGTGCGGCACAGGCTCATACAGTAGGAGATATTGCCCGGGTGGCCCTGGCAGTGACGGATGCCGGAACTTGGAACAGTGCTGGACTTTTCTAGATGGTTTCAGGCCGGACGATCAAACGCAGGCCCATTGCACAGAGAGCGGGCCAAGCCTTCCCTTGCTGGAAATGCGCCCTTTCCTCTTCGCAGATGACAGAATAGGTAAGTCAAAGTAGAAAGGCCTTTTTCTGAACTAACTTACTACTAACTAACTAACTAACGAGCTAATGCCGGCTTTACCAATTGCGACCTTGTGGTCAGCAAGCCGGCAGAGGCGGCCGTAATTTATGGCCCCATTTGGTCTCCATCAAGAACCCCATGGAATCCAGGCACAATTGCCTATTCCGGCTTGGTTGCCACCCCATTAGGGTCTGGAAGGATTCAACCGTCAGGGGAGAGCTTGAGTTTCCAAGGTGTCCTTAGTAGTACCACTTAACCACTTAGCATCTTCGACGGAGTACTACTGGCACTATTTGCTATACTAACCTTAGTCTCGCCATTCCACCGACTGTTGCTATTGGAATTGAGCCATCCCGACTCCATCTCAATCCCCATTTCACCGCCGTTCTTCCACTTCCTTTCGCAACTGCTCCGAAGACTATTGCGAGATATCGCGACAACTTACGTAGTCTGCTCCGAAGAGGCGTCCAGACTAGAGACATGGCTCTGGATAACTCTAAATGTGTATGGATGCAAGCTATCGGCGCCCCCTCGGGCTGCTCGGTCTCTCGGACTTCTCCCAAATGCAGCAACCAGCCTCCGGCATTTTTGACTGGGTCTTCGGAGAATTTATCATGGTTAGCAAGGGGTCTCTTTCCACCGACCCTGATCGATGACAGTGCTCAGATATCAGCCTGTCTATTTTTGTGTTTTCTTGGTGGTCCCTGACCTCTCCTGACCGGCATGGCATACCCATGATGCAGCCCCCCCTTTTTTTTTGTTGCCCAGCACACGCAGTCGTTGCAGTCTGCACAGTGCACGGCGACTATCTCTTGTAGCTTTCTTTTTCTTTCTCTGTGGACATTCAGAATTCGGCCGAAACTGTGGAGTAGACTACTAACTTACATAAAGATCTTGACGATCGGGCCAATGACCGCCTGACAATTCCGGCACCGCTGCACTAAGTATGCCTCTATGGCCAGCATACCGACTATACTAGCAATCTTTAACCTCCCTGAACGGGCTGAAGTGGAGGAAGTAAAGGGGGCAATCATGGCCTCACCGCACACTTCGGACTGACTTTCGGAAGACACATCCTACCATGGACCACAAGAATTGGGCTCATAAGGCTTGGCGACTAAGCTTCGCCGTTTTCGCATCCATCCTTCGGATTGCGCAGATCACCCCTGATGCTCAACGTCCTGACCGTATGATGGCATGCTCCGGGGATGAACCGGCTAGACCTCATTTTTCGCAACATCGCCTTTTTCTCTCATAGTAACTAGCAAACAATCGATTTCAGATTTGTCATTGTCATCGCGTTAGACAAATGGGTTAGCTCGGGTCACGAAACATGGATTGCGACTTTACCCGCGCTTGTTTCCTATCCTGCTACAATGATTCAGCCTGGTATGTGACTAGGGCGATCATTATGTCATTTCTGACATACCAGTGATAATATCATCAGGCATCTATGAATTCGGACGGCGAGGACGATCCTGATGTTCTGAGAGTTAGGAACATACCCCATAAAGCACGATCCTAATATCGAAGTGCACTATATTGATGCACACGGACCAAACCTTGATGTCTCAAAATTGAGCTCGGGTAATCGGGCCCCTCATACTGTGTGCGATTTAATTTAGATCGTTGCCTGTATCTTGTGGAAGAGTCAGGTGAATGTGATTTAGTCGATCGTGATAATTTGTACTATCCGATATTAATCTTCATTTGGGGGTTATGGTTGGTGGGCCAATGGGCGTAGCGCTTGCCGCCATGATGGTGATAGTGATTGATCACCTTGATCAGTTATATATATCCAAAGACAATCGAAAGGCAGAAAGTACCTAAGTAGGTACCAACTTACGGGGTTTACTTTCCCAACTACTACTATCTTAAGCAAACCCCCAACCAGCCTTGAGCGGCAAATCTCACCGGTCATGCGTCCCTTGGTGGCAGTGGCGTTTTGGGCTGTAGGCTATTCCTATCTTTGAGCAGCTAAGCCCGCCATGCTTTTGGAACTGTATGTACATGTGTGTAAGCACTGCCTGGCCGAGTGACCTCCACGGTACCCTTGATCTTCCCAAACAAAGGGGGCCAGATGCAAGCCGAAGGGGCAATTCATATCATACTGTACGACGGCTTCGGTAGACTTCCCTAGAGGCTAGTATCTACTCTGTTTCTACTAGATGAATAATACCAAGGATTGTACATCATTGTGCGCCACGGTCAAACTGGTTATCACGTAAGATCAGTCAGTCGGTTTATTTTTGGTGCCATCAGTTACAAGTAGTGGTGTTGCTCTGAAGAGTTTCTACTAGCTAGATACTAACTACTTCGGAAACCCGCATAACAACCCTGCATGTAATTCGCCTGTTGGACAGAAATTGGGTGGCGGTACTGTGCATGCTCGTCCGACAATCAGATGAGCCCATGACAAGTAAGTAATACAACACTGCCATGCCCATGCCATGCCACGCCAGGCAATTATTTGCAGATGATGATAGCATAGCCGCCAGATATCCAACCACACAATCGAAGAATCAGGTTGGAAGCCTTTGTCCTACTGTGTTGCTGGAAGGGTCAACAGAACAATCAGGAAACCAAGGTGATGGATGGATGGATGGGCTATTACTAGCTACCCTACTAGTCTGATAGTCAGACTATAGCTACAGTAGTTAACATACAGGGAAGGTAAGTGACTGAGTAACTAGGCAAGGGTAAACAAACCTATCTCAGAGAGAGAGAAAGGCACACTACCATGACTGGAAAGTGGATTTGCTTCTCTGAGTTCAGTTGGGGCCACTGAAAATTGTGGGTTGGAAGGGATAACCCATGCCACCCATTGGCGGAGTCGTAAGCGCTCACCAGAATTCTGAAACAAGGGGCGAATGCTTCAAGATTGTTTCCCGCGCCAGTTTGATCGGGTGTGCAGGCTTGGCGTAGTGGTCTTTTCTTGGTTCCACCCAAGGCGGCAAACCCAGCGAGGCGCCTTGGTTTGTGATTTCATATCCATGCCTTGACCAAGCGGGCAGCATTGCTGGCACAAAAGGGCTAAAAAAAAAAGCGAAGGGTGGACTACTGTAGAAGAAGGTTGGTAGCGATGAACTGGGCGGTTAAGCAACCCGCATCTACTGTTTCTTATTCGATGTGACTTCCCTTACCATAGCCGCTGGCTGTGATATGCAGTGCTAGTGTCAATGGTGGGTTGTGTTTGTGTATGTGTGTAATGCTTGGATAGGCTGGAAACCTGGCAAATGGCCCCCAAGAAGAATGAGGCCCCCAAAAAATCATCGCCTAAGTCAGTGAAGAGGAGGAGGAGGAGGTACATCGCCCGTGCGCGCCTATGTGCATATCTGGTGGTGTACACTACTTACTACACAATACTTACTTACTACACCACAAAGGAAAACCCTTCTCCTGATTTCCCCTTTTCCAAAGCTTCTGATAGTAATATCGGGATGCCAAGAGATAGAGCTTACTTGCGTTAAGGCTCCCTGGATCCGACTCAGGACAGTTTGTGCACAGAGAAAGCCAAATGATATCCTATTTTGGTTGCAATTCCGAATGAATTCCCAACAGTCAGGTCGTCGGATACCCATGACCCATCATGGAGGTGCCTAGGCTACCGGACCATCTCCACTTTTGCATGTTCTGTTTGCCCATTCCTTTCTTCTGTGTAAGGTAACTAAGGTTAGCCACACCTTCCCCACACATAGCAAAAGCCAGTAAATATCGCGCGGCCCATGATGTAAGATATCTTCAGGAAGCGCTCTTCAAATTAACAGTCGCCAAGTCGGAGCAGGTAGGCTACCCCACAGATTCAATGGGATTGGCTTAAAGCTTTGGGGTGTATGATTGCAAGCTGCAGGAGGCAGACAGGGTGTGTAGGATGATTACTTTGTAGCATGTAGTATGTAGTAGAGAGCCCTTTCAACTGATGATTTTCTCTTTTCTTTTCTTTTCTTTTTTCTTTCCCCCCTTTCAATGTTGGTATGACTGAGCAGAAAATTAACTGACTAGTTAACTACAAGAGAACTTACTCCATACTGATTGCTCTTACCACCTTCCAGCAGGTTTCTATGGATAAGTTTAGCAACGATGGAGGTGGACTAACCCAAGAGGGAGGCGGGCCCGGCAACAAAAAATCACTAACGGATGGGATGGACTGGAATCTTTGGAAGTCGGCGGCAGCCCCACTGTCTGGTAAGCTGGTTATCCTCCTGGTACCTGACCGTTTGGATACCTGAATACCTTACCGTTGACCCCACTTTTTGGAGTTGTGAACTTGCTGTTGAGAGTAGCAAATAGCTGGATTATCGGTCCTGGGGGAGGTTACTTCAGGGAGCAGCCCTTTTTACCATACGTGTATAATTCCTGTATCGTGTGATTTGAATACCGGGAGGGCCCTCTCTCTTCTCTCTCTGTCGTCTCTTTCTCGCTCTCTCTCTCTGGTTTTCTCCTCCTCTTTTTTTGCCCTTAGGCTCTCTCAGGCTTTCAGTCCTTTTTTTTCCCTCCCCCCCCTCTTTTATTATTATATTATTCATTATTTTATTTTATTATTTTTACTTACTCTCAAATATTCTTTTTCTTTTTTATTTATTTATTTTTTCCCCTTCCCTTCTCCCCTGCCCTGAAGTCGGTCCCTGGCGCAAGTCTCCACTTATATTTTCCTATTCTTTACTCAGTGGGTAAAAAAAAGCCCTACTTTTTCGCCGTGCGCGTATGCCGGAGCCCAACCAACTAAGTAAGTAAGTGACTTAGTCAAGCCGCCCAGGAGAAAAGAGAGAGAGAGAGAGTACTAGAAGAGGGACTCCAGAAGTGGGCGACTCGATCCGCGGGTCTCGGTCGGCGGCGCTCCCTGAATTACTCCTCCCAGACCCAAAGTCTCCGTCCCTCGACACTGGCCGGTCGTTTAAAATTATTATTGTTCTTTTTCCCGATTTTATTATTTATTGTTAGATTATTATTGTATCGATTGGCATTATTATTACCGGTTACCGACTGCCCTCCCATACTTGATCTGTACCTCATCACTGCTGTAAAAAAGCAAGTCCCTACTTCATCCCTCCACTTCGTCCTCTTCCTCTCTTCCCCTTCCCCTCCTCTCTTCCCATCGCGACTGGCATCTCTCTGTTTTTCTTCTTCCGTTCTTACTTCGTCCTTCCTCTTCTTCTTCTTCACCTCCTTTCGTTTCATTTCCACTCCATCTTCGCCGTGCGAGTTATCTCCTCAAGGGACTTGTAATCGGGCTGGCCCAGTTCAACTCTCTGTTGCTACTCTCTCTCTTTCTCACTGCCTTTCATTTGCCCTTTGTTGACGAGGGTCGGCACAACGTCAGCGCCTAAATACTAGCTACTCTTCCCATACAAGAGGCTGGCACCTCTCTTTCTTACCATCGCCCGTGTTTGGATAACCCTTTGTGTTTCACGATTCCGTCGTTGAACACCCTATATCCAAACCTGTTTCTGTCTTTTTATAGCATTCAATCCTCCGAGATCGCTCCCCTTGATTCCTTGCGAGTGGTTGTTTGTCCGCTTTCCTAACCGGGTGCTGTGACTGTGCGTAACTCCTTGCTCTGCCCAACCAGTGGCTCTGTGACACCGTCCACTTGCCGCTCCCATGGCGCTCTTCTTTGTTCGCGCTTATGCTTGCAAGCAAACCGTCGTTTTAAAGATTTGACTGATTCCCCTACAGACTATCGTATATCACATCCGCTATGTATTCCCAACACGGTGCCCCTATGGCACCTCCCCAAAAGCCGGAGACGTTTATGCTTTCCACTGAGGCCCAGCAAAGCCTTCCACATGACGCGCAAGTCGCGCTGCAGCAGGTTGACAATCGTACGTTTCCCTTTGCGGTTGCTTACAACCCCCCCAGATCTCCTGTTTAGCTTTCAGTCGCCTTCGATCTGGGCTCTTTGATGGAACTCCTGACTAATGGTCTATCTATGGTATAGTCAAATACTTTCTCCTCTCGGCGCCGGTAGACTGGCATGCAGATCAACTTATCCGACGCTTCTTGCTTCCTACTGGCGACTATATCTCTTGCGTCTTATGGTTAGTTGCGATCGTCGCAATACCATGCAGTTGATCAAAGGGCACCTAAACTGATTCGCGACAGGAGCAACCTCTTCCACATCTCCGGAACCGACATCGTGAGATGCCTCGCATTCAGATTCCAGGCCTTCGGGCGCCCTGTGAAGAATTCGAAGAAGTTCGAGGAGGGTATCTTCTCGGACTTGCGAAACCTCAAGGCCGGAACTGATGCTACTCTAGAAGAACCCAAGAGCCCGTTCCTCGACTTCCTCTACAAGAACAATTGCATTCGAACCCAGAAAAAGCAGAAAGTCTTCTACTGGTACAGCGTGCCACACGATCGGCTGTTTCTTGATGCGTTGGAACGTGATCTGAAGCGGGAGAAAATGGGGCAGGAGGCGACCACGGTTGCGGTCAGCGAGCCTGCTCTGTCTTTCGAGTTCGATTCATCCCAGTCGCTGTATGAACAACTCACAAAGGCACAACAAGCAAATTCCTCATCGTTTGCTGCACACGCAAGTACGACATATGGCCAACCCGCATCCCCAGTGGTTCGGACCGTTGACGCTATGCCTCCTCCCCAGATGGCTCCCCAGATGGCTCCCCAGATGGCTCCCCCGGCGCTACCCCTTCTCCCGGACGAGTCGGGCAACCCGGCGATGTACAACCCAGTTCCTATGCCCACCACCCTGGCCCAGAGCGTTATTAAGCGCGAAGCAGAGTACGGGCACATCCAATACGACCGCAATGGCATGCCCATTGCTCGTCTGCACCAGCGCCATGCCTCCATGCCCACCTTCGTCGAATACTCGCCAGCGCCATCGTTCGTTTCGTCTCAATACGAGGACTACAGCAACCGGGGTCTATCGTTCGAGCCTGTTACACCTCCTCAGCACAGCTCCCACCTTGGAGCTGAACCGGCATACATCGCTAACGAAGACACCGGTCTCTACACCGCCATCCCCGATATCTCTTCCGCAACTCACTTCAATCCAATGATGCAGCTACCCCCGTCGAATCTTGCCCATGCTCACTACCCGGCGCCTGCGAGAACTTTCCCTTCAAATGTCTACTCGGTCATCGAAGGCTCTCCTACGTACAAGCAACGTAGGCGCCGGTCTTCGATACCCCCGAGTATCACCAGCGTTGGCGCTGGCCCGCACCCCCAGGTGACGAGTGCACCGAACCAAGCTGTTGCGTACGCGGCCCATAAACCCAGCGACCTTCGTCGTTCAGTCTCTAGCTCGGTGGCTCCGGTAGCGGAGGTGGATGAGTCTCATCATGATCAGTCTTTCAGGGCTGCCAATGGCTATCGCGCTGCAGTCCTTCCCCAGAAGAATTTGCTGCATGAGATGTCCCGCAACAGCACCCCGCTGCCGAGCCTCGAGGAAAACCCCGAGCAGGGTACCTTGGCTCTTGCAAATCAACCAGATGAGTTAGCGCCTCTCCCTAGTGGTGAGGCGCTAGATGCATCTGTCCAGAACAGTGCGACGAATAAGTCTGACCGATACGGTCCCATTCGTCGTGCTCGGAGCGCTACCATGATGGAGCTCGGCCCCTACCCGCAGAAGTCACACTCCTGCCCCATTCCATCATGCGGGCGCCTCTTCAAGAGATTAGAACATCTGAAACGGTAAGTTGCAAAATTCTATTTTTATGAGCTGTCCAATTGGTCCGGGTTCCTAGGGGATCGACGGAAGCCTTAAAGCCATTGTTTCTGTAGCCGCCGACTAACATGAAGGATCCAGGCACGTGAGAACACACACCCAGGAGAGGCCTTACCCTTGTCCTTACTGCAACAAAGCATTCTCCCGATCGGATAACCTGGCACAGTAAGTTATCAACATATTCACTTATTATTCATTGCAGGATGCTAATCTGCCTGATAGACACCGTCGAATCCACGAGGCTCAACAGGATGGGCAGCAGCCCCTTTCTGGCCACGAGGAAGACCTGGAAAATGAAGAGAACGGATTTGGTTCGGCCGAGGAGGGCTCGTCCCCGTCTGAATCTGTCTCAGGTGCCATGGTCAATGTTCCTGGCATGACCACGATGCCCTCCGCTATGACCTTGCCTTCGGCTATGCCCACAATGGTCGCTCCTCATATGATTGCGCCTCAACTCTTGCAGCAGCAGCTATGAGTGAGCGCCATGGTGGACCTCTAACTGGTTGTTCTTCGCCAGACCATGTTACATGTTACCCTGTTCGCTTTGTTCAGTCCTTACTGATGCTTTTGCATCTCGACCCTCGGTCGTCTACTGTGTTTGTTCTCACTAATTAACTCTAGGAGTTTTAGGGCGCGTGTCTGCATACAAAACGTCCCTTACTCCGTTTTTGATTGATTGCATCGCCAAGTGTACGCTGTTCGGCCTTGTGGCTCCTGTACGTTGATGCCACGTCACTGAGGCTCGGTTGACAGCTATTGGCTTCCCGCAGGACCTCATCTCCTGCTTCGCGGCCTTGTCCCCCGGCTGATGACGGGGCTGCTTCCAGATTTGGATTGAATCTTCCTTTGTTTCCTATTTGCGGTCGGTCTGGATTTTGGTGTCCATAATAAGCGTTACATGTGTTTGTCCCTCGGGGTTGGTATGCTGTTGTCTCTACCCCATAATCGTCCTTGTTTTTCACCTTGTCTCTTTTTGTTCGGTCGGGTTTACTGGTTTTATTTGTTTCATGTGCTATGTTGATAATGGGCTTTCTTGTACTATTTCATTTATCGCGGTGATGGGAATATTTGGGAGGTTGGATTTACAGATGAGGGTTGATTAAAAAGGGCACATAGCCTGGAATGGCTACTTTTCTTTCCTCGTGGAATATTTTGCGGCTCTCCAGGCACACACCTGAAGCGGGGATGCAAGGAGGGGGTTCTGGATTTGAAGCTTCTTCCACTATAGATATTCCGAGAGATGGATGGATTCTTGTGTCTGCGACGGGCGTGCAGAGGTTGAGCACATACATATAGATATGAATCAAATGGTAATGAAACCCATGCTGTTAAATGGCTAGTAGCCGTAAAAGTCAGTCAGTCGGTCAGTCAGGGGATTGATGTTTGTCACCTGTCAGACGACTGCGTGTCTCCGCCTGATCCAATCGTGACCCGTCCGATCCGGCTTCCAGATCGGGGTATATCACGTGCATGGCCTGCTGACGTCGACCCGATTCTACAAGGTATCGTCATCCCATGAACCCCCATTCGTATTCATCGGGAATGTCTCCTCTTCATTTCTCTGCAGTAAGCTGTTGTTCTGATCTGTCCAGCATGGAGCAAGACTAGGAACCCCAAGGGTTGATCTTCGTGCCATACCTCCTATTTACAGTATACTGCTCCCCGAGCGCTTCACTTTTCCTGAACACAGACTCGCGTGTCCACGACCGCCTCTTGCCGAATCCCTAAGAATCCAGCCACGTTCCAGCAGCTTGATTGGGATCATCTCACACTATATTGCACTACCACTTGCTTCAACCTCCGTCAGGAAGAAGCCACAGAACGGTTGCATTCCATACTGGACTAGCTTGTGTACCACGGCCTTTCCAAACCCTTGGATCTATCTATCCACGTCTAATCAGTTTATATACTACTAGACCGTGTGTGCTATCTTCGGGGCTTTTTCTATCCCATGAATGACTAACGCAGGAAGACCTGATCGTACCACACACACGCGCGGTAATTTCTCCTGAATTCCCCGACTGTTAGCAGGGGATCGTTGTGTCCAGCAACGCTGCTGCTAGCTAGATCAAATGCCAGAAACGCATGAGCGGTTCGCTGATGAAACATCCCCTTTGGTGGGAGCATCTGACAATAATCAAGTGCATTCGATGTCAAGAAATGGAGATAACAACGGGACCAGCGGGGCTGGAGATGCTCACCATCTGTCCGAGACGAAGAGCAGCTGGTACCTGTTTTTGTTGACTTTGAGCATTGGCGGGTAGGTAACAAGTCTGTCCCGTTGGCGATGTAATCTAGGGCTGTTTCTGTGTGTTGTATAGCTTTTGCCCGAAGCTAACGAGGTTTGTTGTTCTAGTCTCCAGGTTGTGTGGTCCACTGAGCTGTCGAATGGATCGGTAAGCTACCACTGTTTATCGGACCCTACATGGGAATAGGGGCTAATTCTGTTGTATGAGCATAGCCCTACCTCCTGTCTCTTGGAATGAGCAAGGCTCTGCTTGCATTCGTTTGGATTGCTGGCCCTATAACAGGTACCCTTGTGCAGCCGTATATCGGCATTTGCAGCGACAACTGCCGCATTTCATGGGGCAAGAGAAAGCCGTTCATGGTTGTGGGCGGCATTGCAACGGTCATTTCTCTCCTTGCCCTCGCTTGGGTCAGGGAGATGACCGGAGGCTTCCTTGGGCTTTTCGGTGTCGATCCAGCTTCTAGTGCAACGCGGACAGTGGTCATTGTACTGGCCACCATTTTGATGTACTGCCTCGACTTTTCTGTAAATACTGGTAGGTCCCCTCTTGCTGCACTGATATGTGCAAACCTAAAGTGACTGTTCGGCTGTAGTGCAGGCAGGCATCCGGTGTTTCATTGTGGACAATGCCCCTTCGCACCAGCAGGAGGCGGCAAATGCATGGGCTAGCCGGCTCACCGGTGTTGGTAACATTCTCGGATATATTTTTGGATACATGGATCTACCGAAATGGTTCCCGTTCTTGGGAAACACGCAGTTCAAAGTCCTATGTGCATTGGCGTCCATCGCACTTGGGATAACGTTGTTGGTTAGCTGCCTATACATCAAGGAACGTGATCCCCGTCTAGATGGAACGCCTTCATCGGGGAACCCTGGGCTTGTAACATTCTTCAAGCAGGTTTTCAAGTCGATCAAGCATCTACCGCCAGAGATTGCCAAGGTGTGCGAAGTTCAACTTGCCGCGTGGGTGGGTTGGTTCCCTTTCCTCTTCTATTCCACGACATATATCGGGCAGCTCTTTGTGAATCCGATCTTCGATGGACACCCCGGTCTCTCGGATGATGATATCAACAAAGCTTGGGAGGAAGCTACGAGGATTGGGACATTCGCGCTGCTGGTCTACGCAATCATCTCATTTGTGACTAATTTGACGTTGCCTGTACTTGTTGTTCCAACCTACAAGTCGGCTGTTCCTTCTGAGCCTACGCCTACGGAAGGTCAGTCAGAGGATGAGCCCTTCCTAGGCAATAGAAGGCTGTCGACATCCTCGATTGGCACTGCAATGGAGGCACCCGCGCCCATCTTGGGAATCAACAAGGGTGATTCAGGGGAAGATAAGTGGCTATCGAAGTTGCAGATCCCCGGATTCACCCTTCGGCGTGCGTGGCTTATGTCGCATATCCTGTTCGCTGTCTGTATGTTCAGCACCTTCTTCATCTATTCTTACCAAGCCGCAACGGTGGTGATCGGGATCGTAGGGATTTCGTGGGCATTGACGCTTTGGGCACCCTTTGCCCTAATCTCTGCGGAGGTCTCCCGCATTGACACGGAGCGTCGAATCCGGCGACATCAAAATGAGGGCGCAGTCTCCGCTGAGCAGCCTCGCAATGATACAAGTTTACCAGCTCGCGCCTCTACCGACGAGCATGACCTGGAGAATGGATCACCCACTTCAACTGCCAAGGCAGGGGAAGTGGAAGAGGAGGAAAATCTGGCACAGGCAGGGATCATCCTCGGACTGCACAATGTGGCCATCTCAGCGCCACAAATCATCTCGAGTCTAATTTCTAGTGCGATTTTCAAGGCGTTCCAGAAGCCTCGGGGTGAGCCGTGGGATGATAGTGTCGGGTGGGTGATGAGGTTCGGGGGCTGCGCGGCAGTATTGGCGGCTGTGCTGACCAGCAGGCTTACCGAGGGAGCACGGGGAGTGCCTGTTTCATCGTAGGATTGCTCTTATTGGGGTGGAGTAACAGACAGAAAGATAGTAATATCAATATTACACACTGATGGGAGAGTGACCAGAATCTGGAACACCAGGCCGAAGTGGGAAAGAATAGTAAGAAAAAGGCCCGTTATTGTAATAGAGAGTATCATCTATTGAGGCGACGTCACACGCCAGGAGGATCAGCGGGCCGAACAGCGTCGGGTCTTGGCCACGCGGGACTCCGGCGGGCGTTGACGAATACTTGTCCCCTACTCATGCCAGCTTTCGCTTCACACATCTCTCGTGTCTCTCGCTTTTCGCTGCTGTTGCGCCTTTCTGCCTCCCGTCAGGTCTTTTGCGATCGGCAGATTATGTGTGCCTGGTCCCCGTGCCAGAGACTCGCTGCTGGGCGTTAACCGTCATCCGCGTCGTGGTTGCGAGGGATATCCCCAAACAATGGCTACCCAAGTGATGGGCAACTTTTTACACCAGCTACTCCGTATGTCTCCAATGTCCTATGCGATATCAGTGGTTTCCTTCCATGCGGATGTCAAGATTCGGGTTGTTGGCTGAGAGATACCTGGGGGTTTCCTCTGTGAGGAGGCGGCGGCCCCTTGTGATGGATGCATACGCGGCCGGGCGATTTGAAACGAAAATGATCACTAACGGACTCGTGCTTTTCAGGGAGAGCTGTGGATTCGGATACGGACCCCGATGATGGTACGCGCATTATACTTCACCCAAAATATCTTATTTCTGCATGAGGCCATTGGTTCTGACAATGTCGGTTTTAACAGCAGATGCTCCGGACACCGGCGATAAGGAGTTCTTCAGCTCCTGGGCGCTCTTCATCCTGATTATGTTGTTGATGTTCGCGCTATTTACGAGTTACATTCTCCAACAGAAGAAGATCCAGGCGGTTCATGAAACAGTGCTGTCTATATTTGCGGGTATGTCGATCGCAGCTTGGTTGTTACCTTTCGGGATATTATGAGGATCAGGCGCTCATGGGTATGGGATAACTTTAGGCATGTTTGTCGGATTGATCATCCGATTGAGTCCTGAGTCACCCATTCAGGATAGCGTCACCTTCGATTATCAGTTCTTCTTCAACCTTCTCCTTCCTCCGATTATTTTGGCATCGGGTTACGAATTACACCAGGCGAACTTCTTCCGAAACATCGGTACCATTCTCACCTTCGCCTTCGCAGGAACGTTCATCTCGGCTATCGTGTTGGGACTGGTCCTGTTTGTCTGGACGAGAATTCCGTTGGATGGGTTGAACATTTCCTTCGTTGAGGCCATCGCGGTCGGTGCGACACTGTCGGCGACGGATCCGGTCACCATCTTGGCTATCTTCAACTTGTACAAGGTCGAGCCGAAGCTCTACACGGTTATTTTTGGCGAGTCGATCTTGAACGATGCCATCGCTATTGTGTTATTCGAGACCGCGCAGAAGTATGCCGACAGTGATGCGGGCTCCTTGACTTTCTTGAACTTGTTCGAGGCTATTGGACTGTTCTTGCTGGTTTTCTTTGGAAGTATGATGGTGGGTGTCATCGTCGGCATCATGACCGCTCTGGGCTTGAAGTACACGCATGTGCGCCGCCAGCCCAAGATTGAGAGTTGCTTGATTGTCCTTATCGCCTATGCCAGTTACTTCTTCTCGAATGGTGTCTATCTGTCTGGTGAGTGAGATGCTTGTCACAATTCGGTGCGAAGCAAGCTGACATTCTTAGGAATCGTGTCTCTCCTGTTTTGTGGAATCACCCTCAAACACTATGCATACTACAACATGTCGCGCCGTACCCAACTTACCACGAAGTACCTCTTCCAAGTGATGGCGCAATTGTCGGAGAACTTTATCTTCATCTATCTCGGACTCGACTTGCTCGTCCAAAGACATCTACAGTTCAAGCCTCTCTTTATCTTGGTCGCCGTTTTCGGTATCTGTATCGCGCGGTACCTGGCGGTGTTCCCGCTATCTAAGGCGATCAACTGGTTTATCCGATACAGAGCCCGTCGCCGCGGCATGGATGTTGCCGACGAGCTGCCCTTCGCCTACCAAGCAATGCTTTTCTGGGCAGGTCTGCGTGGAGCTGTCGGTGTTGCGCTGGCCGCAGGCCTGAAGGGAGTCAACGCCCCGGCGCTGCGGGCCACTGTTCTCGTGGTGGTGGTGTTGACCGTCATCATTTTCGGCGGCACAACGGCCCGGATGTTGGAGATTCTGGGAATCCGGACCGGAGTTGTCGAAGAGATCGAGTCGGACGATGAGTTTGACATTGAGGTCACCAACGGTGGCACCTACTACAAACGCTCTGATACAGGTTTGGGATACACGCCTCGCCGTATGGACTCGACCATCCCGTTGGATGGAGTGCCGCGCGGCGATATGGATCGGAACAACAGCTATTCGAGCGGCAATAATCGTCGTCCCAGTCCTCCTCCATCCGGCTCGGGCCGCACTCGCGGCCATGCCCGGCTCTATTCCAATGCATACAGCCAGAGAGATTCAGGCCGTGACCGTACGTCAACAGCCACGCTGCTGGGTGGTGGCGCCCGTAACCACAGCGACAGCGAGGCTGCCAGTGAGGATGAGTTTGGCTTGAGGACCACTGGGAAGGGCCGTGTGGCAGACGCCGACCAATTGGATGCGTTCGACCTTGATGTCGAGGATGCGCCGTCCGATGACGACCTGCCCCCATCCGCCCCGGCGCCGACTACCTCGCGACTCAGGCGATCGCCGTCTCAGCCTCAGCAATATCTGGAGTCGTCGCAGACCACACCCCCTAACAACCCGTCACCTAACCGGCGCGAAACCGGATTGAGCGCCCGCGATGCCATTCGAGACCTCTTCTCGGGAGGACCGTCTGGGGACCACGCGGCGTGGTTCCGACAATTGGACGAAGATTATATCAAGCCTCGACTTTTGTTAGATCAGTCGAACCACAAGGGGCCTGGTGCTGTTTAGATGATACTCCTTTCGTTTTCTTTTCCTCCTTGTGTGTACTCATAATGCATGATTCCATCTTCTGTTCCACTGTTCTTCTGCCAGCCCCCCCATGGTCGGAATGGCTTTTCCTTCTGCTCGACCCCGGGGTTCTGTCGGTGGTTGTAGCTGGCCCCTGTTGCGTTCGGTAGCGAGTATGCTCCAGCACGACAGTCCTCTCTTTCTTAATTGGGGGGCGCTTGTATATCCACTATATACCAGTGCAGACTGCTGTTATATTGTTTTTCTTTGGCATAGCCGGGTCTGGACACCCTGGACACATGTCATTGTGTACGATTGCCATGTTTCCATTTAGATTTGAATGATTGAGACTCTTCTTGTTCTTTCGAATTGCAATGGAGCACATACGTAGGTAGTAATATACCACCATAGATAAGCCAAACCATTCTAATCCACCAGGCCGATCCCCCTCTCACTAAGTAGGCCCGTGATTCCCCAGCCGGCAGCACCAGCAACTTAATGAGCTAGTCGTAAACCTCGGAACAATCCAGCACCTCCAATTCCTTCTTCCCTTTTCCTGTCAATTCCGATTCCGAAAAGGCAATCCTTCGCGACAAGCCTCCAGACTTACGGTGGCCCAGCGCGGGCTGTTATCAGGCGCAGGAGTGTCCAGATTGGTTGCTCGGGCGTCGTGCTAGGTTTCCCCCGCGATAAGAGTCATGATAACACACGCCAGTCTTGCAGCTCCCCTGATCGAAGAGTTCTCTCTCGTTCGTTGGTCGATGCTAAAATGTGGCGTTGTGGTGTACGCGGTGCCACCGATTTGTTGGGCTTATCGGAGGATGAATGGATTATCAGCACGCCTTTTGCTCCCATTCGGCGTAAGGGATGGGATACTTGTTATACTTCCGATGGGCTGGTGGAGGTCTGGAACCCCGCGCTGTGGGAAATTCGGAACCAGTATAAGTTAAGTGTCTGGTGCTTGTGCTTCCTTCTGCTGCGATTCACGTTTCTTTCTTCGCTCTGGTTATCTGCGGTTCCCTCTCTCTCTCATGATGGCGGAAAAGTTCAAGGATGCTGCTCAGGTAGCTGATGGGGATCCTCCCATTGAGCAGGGCGATTCGCAGCTTTTAGGTATGTCATGCTATCAATTTATACTTTTATCGAGTTGTTGATTATGGTGAGATTGTTTGTGCTGATCTGATCGGATAAGCTACGCTGGGGTATAAGCAGGAACTGCGTCGTCATTATTCCACCGTCCAGGTCTTCGCTATCGCCTTTAGTATTATGGGATTATTGCCCTCGATTGCGACGACGCTCTCGTACTCGATTCCTGCTGGTCCCGTAGGCATGGTTTGGGTATGGTTGCATATGCATGCTGGCTCTACATACATGGGATTCGTGGCTAACTTGAGTTCAGGGTGAGGCTTTTCGCTAGTATGGTCTAGGCATTGATTCTGATGGGTCTTGCAGGATGGTTTTCTGCGAGTGTGTTTATCTTCATAGTGGCTTTGGCGATGGTCTGCTTCATGCGCAATATACCTCATGCTCATCGAATTGTTTGGATGCTTACTACCCACTGGATATAGGCCGACCTAGCATCCGCCATGCCTACTGCCGGTGGTCTCTACTTCTGGACTCACTACTTCAGCGGCGAGAAGTGGAAGAACCCTCTCAGCTTCGTAGTCGGGTACAGCAATAGTCTAGGACTCATCGGCGGCGTCTGCTCCATCGATTGTATGCGAATCCCTCGAACCTTTCGTGTCCTCCTATCGCTAACCCTAGCCGACAAGATGGCTTCGCTACAATACTCCTCTCAGTCGTATCAATCGCGCGCGATGGAAACTGGACAGCCTCTCGACCCGTCCTATACGGCACCTACGTCGCCTGCGTGGTCGTCCACGGCCTTATCGCCATCTTCTGCGCGCGCATCATGCCCAAGATCCAGTCCGCCTGTATCGTGAGCAACGTCGGCCTTGTCCTCGCCACAGTCCTCGCTCTGCCCATCGGTAAAGCCGTCCGCGGGGGACAGATCAACTCGGGAACGTATGTCTTTGGACACTCTGAGAACCTCACGACCTGGCCCCAGGGCTGGACCTTCATGCTGTCATGGATGTCGCCCATCTGGACCATCGGTGCATTCGACTCCTGCGTCCACATGAGCGAGGAAGCTAGTCACGCGGCGCGTGCCGTGCCATTAGGTATCATTTGGTCTGCGGGACTCTGCGGACTGTTAGGGTTTGTATCCCTCGCGCTCATCGCTGCCGTGATCAACCCGGACCTTAATGCCGTGCTGAACTCGAGTTTCGGACAGCCAATGGCACAGGTACTCACCTACTCTCCATTCCCTCTATCCTAGAATGGTAATAACCGCAGGCACAGATCTACTACGACGCCCTCGGCAAAAGCGGTGCCCTCGGCTTCATGATCGTCGTCGCAATTGTCCAATTCTTTATGGGCTTGAGTCTGGTACAGCCCCTCTCCTTTCCACCCCCTCATCCCCAATTACCAACCACGAAACTCACATGACGAATATCATGATTTATAGGTAGTGGCAGCCTCCCGCCAAAGCTGGGCCTTCTCCCGCGATGGCGCCCTCCCCTTCTCGAATTTCTTCCGGCACGTGAGCAAGCGCGTCCGCTACCAACCCGTGCGAATGGTCTGCTTTGTCGTCCTGATCTCCGTCATCCTGGGCCTCCTGTGCCTCATCGACGAAGCCGCCTCTAGCGCCCTCTTCTCCCTCGCCGTCGCGGGCAACGATCTCGCCTGGATGGTGCCCATCCTGAGTCGTCTCGTCTGGGGTAAGGAGCGCTTTCACCCTGGAGAGTTCTATACGGGTTGGTTTAGTAAACCCATTGCCATTACGGCGGTCGTGTATTTGGCGTATGTTATTGTCTTGAGTATGTTTCCGACGGGGGGGCCGAGTCCGTCGCGTAAGTTGTTCCCTTTTTTTTCTTTTCTCTTTGAATATACTTCGTTTGAGGGTTGGAGTGGTTGAGCTAATGATGTGTGTAGCGCAGGATATGAACTATACGATTGTGATTAATGGGAGTTTGTGGCTGGGAGCGATGGTTTATTATGTCGTTTATGCGAGGAAGGTGTATAGGGGGCCGCAGATGACGGTGGGTGGTGGGGGGGAGTCGTCCGGGTTGGAGGAGGATGAGAAGTGATTGATTGATTGTTTGTTGTATTTGCTATTTTGTGGTTGGGTTTATGGTTTTCATATTGGAGGGTTCGGTTGTATTGTGTATGGATGAATGTCCTTGGGTGATGTTAGAGGTACTATTATACTACTGTACTGTTTGGCTGGGGATAATGGGAAATTTCTTTGATTGGTTTGTATGAAAGCATAGCATGGTGTTTAGTACATAACATTGTATCTCTTGGATGGAGTATAGCTTCGTGTACTTTGTTTATCTGTATGTTTGGGGCTTTGTTCAGTTTGTACCACTAGGTATCTGAACAGATATTAGGTAGTCATGCAGGCCATGGCGATGTGATGATGCTTATGCATGATGGATGACATGAGACAATCTGATTTGCAGCAAGGCTTGCCGTGCGTGCTCTCCATGTAGAGTCAATTACTTGGTATCCATCACGTGCGGATATGGTGAATAAGAGTATAGAAGATTCAATTATTTCAGTATTTTAAACATGTCAGAGAGACGTTATTAGTAGTCATAAGCCCATCATAGTAGTCATGCTCGAGACTGGTAAATAAACTCCGTCTGACCAGCAACTCGTGTCATCCCCAACGCCAAATCTTTCCGTGTCTACCTGCTTACTGAGGCACCTCAAGGACATACCGACCGGCGATCTGGCCTTGTTCTGTTTTCATAGTTAGTAACTCGACTTAATATCACTAGGTATACAACGTACCCATCAGTTCGAAGATGCGCGGCAAATCCTCCAAAGGAGCCGTCTTGAACGGAGCCTTGATGAGTCCGCGGGCAAAGAAGTCTACTGCTTCTACGCCATCCTGCCTATTGCCAACGTAGCTTCCCTTGATGTTGATCATACGGACAACGGTGTTGAAGACAGGGGCTCGAAGGAATGCGCCGGCTGGCATGCCAATAGCGACGACACTACCCTTGGAGCGAACGTACTCGGTTGCCTGCTGGAAGGGCTTTTCGGCCACAGCGAGAAGAATCACAGCGTGGGCACCAAGGCCTTCCGGAGTGGCTGCCTTGACGTCCTCAACTACATCCTTGGATGTCTTAAAGTCGATGTATGCCTGGATAGAGAGAGAGGGTTAGCCAGATGTGGTGGTATTGGGGACTGAGACATTTACCTCCGATCCGAGTTTCTCGCACATAGCTTTCTTCTCGTCACCACCGTCGATGGCGATGGTGCGAAGCCCCATTGCCTTAGCATACTGCAGAGCCAGCGATCCGAGTCCACCTCCGGCGCCGACAATGGCGACGGTCTGGCCGGGACGAGCACCAGACTCCTTCAATCCCTTGTAGACAGTGATACCAGCACAGAGGATGGGAGCGACAGCATCAAGGGGAACTTCCTTCGGGAGCTTCGACGCATGACTGGCCTTGGCGATGGCATACTGCTGGAACGTACCATCGACGGTGTAACCGGATAGCAACGCGTGAGGACACAGGGGCTCCTCGGCCTGCTTGCAGAACTCACAAGCCAAACAGGATCCGTTCAACCATTTGATACCAGCGTGATCTCCAACTTCGAACTCATTGACGAGGTCACCCGTGGCGACGACCACGCCAGCTCCTTCATGTCCGCCCACGAGGGGAAGCTTCAACCCGAGTGGCCAGTCACCCTTCATGGCGTGCAAGTCGGTATGGCAAACCCCGGTATACCGGATCTTGACCAAGATCTCGTCCGGGCCAGGCTTTGCCACCGGAATCTGCTTGTAGACAGGGGGTCCACCCTTCTTCTCGACCACTTGGGCCCATTGCTTCTCCGGGATAGTCATATTGGCAGTCTGGGATTCGGATGAGATAGTAAATGACAAAGATACCAAGTGATGGGAGGCTGATGAATGCAATTGATGTCTATGTGAGACGAATAATCAGGGTCTTCCAGGTCAAGGGGCGTGAGTCCTTCGTGGCTTTATGTAGTTGCGTCCTGGTGGTGTTGCCGGGTATGACGGACAGGTGGGGTGATGTCCGCTCATCGCCGGAAGTGAATTGGGATCGAGTGACGTCGAACAAGAAGGATCCAGTGGCAGGACAGGGGTTTGGTGCCAGGAGACACTGACAAGGAAGCAGTCACCGAGCCTAGAGCTGGCTTTTGGTCTCTCGGCCGGGGCGGTCATCCTCGGGCTTACTGCATGATCAATCCAATTAGGGACGAAATTCCCCAGACAGGCCAGTAAACATGTATATGCCACAAGCCACTCTTGGAAAGTATTTCGCACCAAACGTCTCAAGTGAGTTTTAAGTGGTTGAGTATCCCGATCCATGGCTGTCGGGATGGCGGGACATGGCAGACGGCATAGACGTCATGGAAACCAAACTCTCTCTCCGCAGCTTCCAATCGCGGGAAAAGCGTGGGGGGAAAGACATCCTGAAACCCGAAACCCCAGATGCATACGAGGAACGCTGGCTATAGAGACCGTCTATTATCAGATCCCCGCTACTAGAACCGCATTAAGTCGGCCCAGCCCCAGCTTGCAGTGCCTGGTTCGTGTTGGCAAAGAGGGGTTGATTGTTCCGATGGAAGGTCGTGAGCGAGAGAGGCGCGGATGACGCGGACGAACGGCTTCCTTCTCGGTCTTTCCCCAGTCTATAGCACTCGATTTTATCAGAAGCAGCAGCAATGAAGGCAGGTAGCAGAAGCATGCTTGCGGATAGATCTGCTGCCACGGCAGATTTCAACGTGCATGGTTGGACGGGCGATCCGAGAGCGCCAGGCCGATCATTCTTATCGCTGCCTTGGGCCTCATCCAGGATCGTTGCATCGCATCCCTTTGTCTCACCCCAAGTTCAAGAATGTTCTTTAGTTTCCTCCGCGTTACTATGCTGTTAGTTCCTATACCTCAAACTCTTCGTGCTCTGCCGAACCCTGTCACTGGCTGGTCTCTCCGCAGATGAACTCTCATTGCTGCGGCTAGATTACATGGGATTCGCAGGCCTCAGCCGATTTCGCAGCTTCCCGGTGGTTCAATGGTATTCCCATTGAGTGGTGGTAAGACATGATAAGATCACAATATCATGATCAGTGGTAGTATCATCAGGGAACTGAATCAGCGGAAGATTCCAGGCGAAAGGGCAGATGGAAGGTTGAAAAAGCCCAGTTGTGGATGGGCTGATCGAGTACCTCCGGGGCACCCACCTGACCACAGGCTCATCTTAACCTCTTTCGGAGGAGTTCTTAGCAATGGATCCAGTCATGCTGTTTTAACTACAGCAAGATCTATAGAGTATGATTAATGAGTATCATGGTACAAATGCCCTGATCAGCCGACCCATTATGGATGGGATGCCAGCACGCCAGGATTTGCTAGACAAGAACGGGTGCTTGATGCTTGAAATAGTTCCTCAGTCGCTATTTGAAGTAACAAATTGCGATTGGAGAGGAACTAGGTGATTGCTATTTACCCCAGTCTTGGACATGCTTTACTTGCAGCTTGGGTAAATCTACTTGTTGCATCGGGGCTATCATCTACTCCCATTGCAGCACCGGCTGAGTCTTGATCATTGGCATGGACATGAGTCGTGCAACAATTTGCAAATATTATACGGAGGCTAGAAGCTTGGATCCAGGGTTTCACTCTTGCAAGTCTCATAATATTCAAAACCAGTACCAGTCAAATATTTAGCTACCAACTAGCATAGGATGTGAGTGAGTGAGTGAGTGAGTGAATCTTGTCCGGATTTCCTACTTCCTTCTACCTGGATAATTTTTTAGATCCATAGTAATAGACACCCCTTGATGGAAAGACAACTCGATCACCGTCTTTCCAATTGAGTACCAGGGTATGTTTAGAACTATTTATCGTTCTACTCCACCTCGTTCGGACAAGCGTTGCGTTAGTATGTAACCATCAGCCGCCGTCCAACCTGAGAACGTCAACTGCGAAGTTGTCATTGGATATCAATGATGGACGATCTCATTGTGCGTGGCACTTGTTTTTGGTGGCGGTAGCTTCAGCAAGATGCACGGGAATCGTCGCGGGATAAGCTAATTGCCACGCTCTGCGTTCAACCGCCAATTTGATGCTATCGCCAACCTATAGGAACTAGAAACATGAAAGGAAGTAAATACTATTTTTGAACATCAATTTGTTCTGAAATATTGAGATGACCCAAGACTGAAGTCTAACTAGCTTGTTTGTGGGTATCGATGATGTATTCTTGAACCGAAGTCGCGAGACGCCGGGAACATAATATGGGATCTTGGACATGGCAAGACGCCGGCGTAGTTACTCGACTTAACTACGGCTGTAGGTCTACCTGATCCATGTACGCCGGACACTGTAGGCCGATGCAAGCACTTCAGATCATGTCAAAATCCCCTGGAGGGGCAGCAGCACACGCGACCATCACCCCTCATGATCAGGTGCACGATGAAGTGTCCTGTTTGTGAGATTTTAATAGCGTGATGATGGGAGAACCGGGGGACAAGAATTGGCGGGAATCTCCATAATAACCCGAGTGTCCGTCAGTCACAGTCAGTCACTCTCTCCGTTCCCGATCGAAGGCGATGATGTCTGGAGACGGTCATTACCTGTATCGAACTAAACAGTTCTGTCATCGAACGGAGCCTCCCCGGTCCAGATGCAGGCGAGATCGATGGAGATACAGGGAGAAGTGTTACAATCCTCTTGAGGGAATCATGTTTAGAAGCAGTTTCCAATACCTGTTGTGCAACTAATCGTCTGCCCTTGTATAGATTAACACCAATATTCGGGGAAATTCCAAGTTGTAGACAGGAGTAGGCTGGAAGAAGGCATCGTGCTGCTACGAACTTCAGCTTTGGTGATCTGGGCAACGGCTAGTGGTCAGTAATAATCAGTAACAGTAATACCAATACATACGGACAGGTGCGGGATTGGATGGGGGAATGCAGAAAGAAACGAAAGAAGGAACGAGACAAGATGAGGGAAAATGAGGGAGAAAGTTGGCCCAAAGGGGGGGAAAGGGAAGCAGCAGCGCAAAAAAATCAAAAAATACTGGAACCATCGCCATCATCCTCTTCATCATCCATCCAATCCATCCCATCCCAATCTCCAGTGCAATCAATCTTCATCTCGACATCCATCTCTCTCATCATCATCTATGAATTCTGTCATCTCCTCCCCGGAGCACGACCCCATTCACCACCACGTCTAGCTAGCTAAGGAAGGTATCTCGACCGTCTGAGGTACGATACACTACAAACACCAGACCTGAACTGAGATCATCACCCTCCACTCTTCTTTCCCCTTACCTGCTGCTCACCTCCTCCTCTTCCATCATTCACATCCAACCTCCCACCCTCCCCCCATCTCAATCCCAATCCTTCATCAATTCATCCAGAGGGTCTCCGTTACGGACATTGCTGGGTTTCTCAAGTAGTGTTCGCTGCCGGCCCAGGACCATTCCCCGATCGGGTAGCCCATTCACGGCTTGGCTGGGCCTGTGTTTCTTGTCGCATCCTGTCCGGAACGGTTGACCCGTGGAGGGTTTGTTGGCTCGCTCACCACAAGCACTTTGGAGCCCTCCGAAGATTCCTGTCAATCCGGTGAGGCGATCCTCCCTTTTCCACCTCATCCTTTCCTGTTCTTTTCTTCCATCTGCCCCCCATCATCTTCTGCCTTCATATCATCGCCATCCTCCCTCCCAATAACCTCCAGCCTTCCTTCTCCACTTCTCCCCATTTAGGCCTCTCAGAATTAATTCCTTCCGCAGATAGCTGGGACCAGCAGCGGCAACCAACCCGACGCGTGATCGCCCCCCATCGAGATCTTCGTGAGATAAATCCTCTCGAAACCCCCTTCGCGCATGGCCAGCCCTCGTTTTTCATAAATGGTTCTTGTTCGCCCCGAACACGTTTTCTCTCCTTCCTCCTTCTCCAACCCCCCATCGCCTTTCGCGGTCCCTGTTGCTGGCACCATCTTCTAACCCTCGCCGCCGCGTTCCCCGGCACACGCGGCCATCATGACGGGGGCTCCGCCTTATAATCCTCAATCTCCCACGCAGCAGTCTCGCTATCCGGTCTATTCGCCTCCGGCTAAAAGCCGCCCCTACTACGCCAACAATGAACAATACCAGCAACATCCACCCCAGACTCCTCCTGCCTTCTCATCCAGGAGCCCTCACTTCTCCCATGCGCCTTCCCCGTTGCCAGGCACTCTGCCGCCATTGAACGGCGCGGCGCCGCCGTCATCTCATCCCTCGGAACCGCCGTCGCAATACCAGGCACATTCTTCGGCTGGAAACCCACAGTTTGCTCTCCCGCGGCCCTATCCTGGCTCCGTCTTGTCAGGCAACGGCGCATCTCCTTACGGTCACTCTACACCGTCCCATGCCCATCCCGCTGGTCGGCCCGATAGCCATCCCCAAACATCACCCAAGAAGGAGTCAGAATCCCAGTTTCCCATGAGCACTCACGGTGTTATGGGTTATCCATCCTCTGTGGTGCGCGAGCCACGAGCATCTTCACCCCCCAAGGACGTGGTATGCTATCCCCTTGTTAATCGTGGCCATATTTACCTACCCATTGACTGACGCTGTGATGCTCTGCTACATCTAGAAACCTACAAGGGCAGCAGATCCCATGTCTTTTGCCAGCATTCTCTCCGGACCGACTGAGGAGCGCGCTCCTCCCCCGAGACAGTCTTCGGCCGAGGCTACGCCCACTCCCCTAGCGCCCGCAGCAACAGCCCAAACCAGTCTCAGTCCTCCGCCCGTAGCTTCGGCTGCTACTTCACAAAAATCCAAAGACCGGGCACCGGCTCTCACCGCCTCTCTACCGAGACTGGAGAAGAAGCCCACCACGGAGAAACGCCGTCGCAACCCGCCGGAAACTGAGCAAAAGACAGCCGACTCACGGACCTCCAATGTGGCCAACGGCGTCTCTGAGCCCTCGAAGACGCTCGCTCAGCCTCGTGGTGCCGGATCTCGCCCAGTGATGTCTGAACGGGAGACAGAAGCTCTCAACAAAGCGTTGGCTGATATGGCCGAAGCTGACAAAAGTGATGTGGAAGCACCTGGTTACGACCGGTTCCGGGAGGAATATCGCGCCAAGGGCAAGAAACGTGCCTTTGCTACTGAACAGGCCGAAATCCTGAGACGCAAGGTAACACAATGACTTACCACATGCAAATATGTCTGGATTTACTGACACGGTATTTAGCGCCGCCGAAATGACTTCCTCGTCAAGCTCAGCAAGTCTCTTGAGAAACAAGCAACTGCCGGCATGGACCGATTCCGATATGCAAACGAGGCATCCGTCGTTGCTGAAGTCCAGGCGAAAGAGATTCAGGATGAAAAGGAGCGCAAGAAGGACATGCAACGCAAGCGGCGTCGTGAGAATACGGTGCGCATGGAGATGCAAAAGAAAAAGGAAGCAGAGGCCAAGGCGCACGAGGCTCAAGATTCTGCGGAGAAGGCCAAGTTCCTTCGTGAAGCGGAACGGGCGCAAAGGAAGATCAAAACGACCAAGAGAGCTCTCGAGGGAATCACTGCCCCAGAGGAGATCAGCGAGGTCACTCCATTGGCTCCAAATCTGGAAGGCGGCACTACCAGCTCCTTCCACATTGGCCGCGGCTCACCATCGAGACGGAAGTCTGGTCGCGGTGGTCCGGTCACTCGGCCAAAGAAGTCGAAAGAGCAGAAGCAAGCCGAAAAGGATGCTGCGGAGGCTGCTTATGCAGCTATGGAGAATGACGAACCTCTACCTATCGCACCCAAGGAGGACCCCCGAAAGGAGTCTCTCAAGAAGGAAGTTAAAGGTGGCCGCTCCAAGGAGCCCACGCCAACGCCCTTGTCCGCCTACGAGACTAAAGGCTATAACCAGATTTATGAGCAGATCTGGCGTGACATTGCGCGGAAAGACATTCCCAAAGTCTACCGCATCAAGGCCTTGTCCCTCAGCACGCGTCAGGAGAATCTCCGCAAGACAGCTCAGCTGGCCAGCAAGCAGTCCCGCAAGTGGCAGGAGCGTACAAACAAGAGTATGAAAGATACTCAAGCCCGCGCCAAGCGCACCATGCGTGAGATGATGTCCTTTTGGAAGCGCAACGAACGAGAGGAGCGTGATCTTCGTCGTCTTGCGGAGAAGCAAGAGATTGAGTCCGCTAAGAAGGCGGAAGCAGAACGTGAAGCTAACCGTCAAAGGCGCAAGCTTAACTTCCTCATCTCCCAGACAGAGCTGTATTCTCACTTCATTGGCCGAAAAATCAAGGGTGCAGAAGGAGATGCTGCCGGGGACACAGCCGTGGAAGCGACGGGCGAGACCGTCCAACCCGGCAAGGGTCAGGATCATACCATCGACATGCCCTCCAGTGTTGCTGATGCGGGCACCAAAGTTACGAACTTCGAAGATCTTGATTTTGATGCCGAAGACGAGACCGCCTTGCGGCAGGCCGCCATGGCTAATGCTCAGAACGCTGTCCAGGAAGCGCAGGATCGGGCACGCGCCTTCAACTCTGGACAGAACCAAATGGATGCCTTGGATGAGGGCGAACTGAACTTCCAAAATCCTACGAGTTTAGGAGACATCGAGATCTCGCAGCCCAACATGCTTACTGCTAAGCTCAAGGAGTACCAACTGAAGGGTCTGAACTGGCTGGTCAACTTGTACGAGCAAGGCATCAACGGTATCCTAGCCGACGAGATGGGTCTGGGAAAGACCATCCAATCCATCTCCGTCATGGCTTATCTCGCCGAAGTACACAACATCTGGGGTCCGTTTTTGGTCATTGCGCCCGCTTCAACCCTACACAACTGGCAGCAGGAAATCACCAAATTCGTGCCGGATATCAAGGTGCTTCCCTACTGGGGTTCCGCCAAAGATCGTAAGATTCTCCGCAAGTTCTGGGACCGCAAGCATATCACCTACACCAAAGAGTCGGAGTTCCACGTGCTGGTGACGTCGTATCAGCTCGTCGTGCTTGATGCCCAGTACTTCCAGAAGGTGAAATGGCAGTACATGATTCTGGACGAAGCTCAGGCCATCAAGTCCTCGCAGAGTTCACGATGGAAGAATCTGCTTGGATTCCACTGCCGCAACCGTCTCCTTCTTACCGGTACACCGATTCAGAATAATATGCAGGAGCTGTGGGCCCTTCTTCACTTCATCATGCCGACTCTGTTTGACTCCCATGACGAGTTCAGCGAATGGTTCTCCAAGGATATTGAATCCCATGCTCAAAGTAACACGAAACTCAACGAAGATCAGCTGAGGCGTCTACACATGATCTTAAAACCTTTCATGCTGCGTCGTGTGAAGAAGCACGTCCAGCAGGAGCTTGGAGATAAGGTCGAGAAGGACATTTTCTGTGACCTCACCTATCGCCAGCGGGCCTATTATACCAATCTACGAAACCGCGTCAGCATCATGGATCTCATCGAAAAGGCTGCCGTCGGTGACGAGGCCGATAGTACGACCTTGATGAATTTGGTTATGCAGTTCCGTAAGGTCTGTAACCACCCTGATCTGTTCGAGCGTGCCGAAACCAAGTCTCCCTTCTCTACCGCCTACTTTGCCGAGACGGCGTCGTTTGTTCGGGAGGGCAACAACGTCGATGTCAGGTACTCGACCCGCAATTTGATTGAATACCCCATGCCACGCCTTCTCTGTGGTGCAGGCGGTCGTGTCGATGTTGCAGGCGCTGAAAATCCTCACGCCGGGTTCCGCGGACGGTACTTGAACCACTTGATGAATATCTTCACCCCGGAGAACATGAAGCAAAGCATCCAGGACGACGGAGCGTTCTCTTTCCTACGTTTTGTAGATACATCACTGGGTGAAGCGTACGAGCAGTCGCATCTCGGAATCTTTGAGCGAGCGGTCCGCCGCCGAGGTCAGGTCAACAGGCTATCTCGGCTTAACGTTGCCTACGACGACGACAAAGAACTGGCAGGGTCCGCCCTTCCGCATACACTGTTCAATATCGTCGACCGCAATGATAAACACGCCGTCAATGAGGTTGCCGCAGAAGGAATAATGCGGGACTTGATGACTGTCTCGCAATCTACGTACGAGCGCGAGGGCCTCAACATCATTGAGCCCTGCGTCAGTCCCGCCGCATCCGCACCTCCGATCTCTGTGGTGTCCTCGAGCCATATCCCCTCAATCGAGACAAGGGACACCCTCTTCAATGTCTCCGTTCGACACGCACTGTATAGCACGCCTTCAAGACAAGTCGATGAGCAGATTATCGAGAAGAAGGTGGACCCTACTCCGTACTCGCTTGCTCCCATGCTTCCGAAGCCGATTTCCGCCAAGGGCCGTTACACGCACATTGAGGTGCCATCCATGCGCCGGTTTGTCACCGATTCTGGTAAATTGGCTAAGTTGGATGAGTTGCTTCGAGAGCTCAAGGCAGGCGGTCACCGTGTACTGCTGTACTTCCAAATGACCCGCATGATCGACCTAATGGAGGAATACTTGACTTACCGCAATTACAAGTACTGCCGCTTGGATGGAAGCACCAAACTGGAGGATCGCCGCGACACCGTGGCTGATTTCCAACAGCGCCCTGAAATCTTCGTCTTCCTGCTGTCCACTCGTGCTGGTGGTCTGGGTATCAACTTGACTGCGGCCGATACCGTCATCTTCTACGATTCGGATTGGAACCCGACTATTGATTCTCAGGCCATGGACCGCGCGCACCGTCTTGGTCAGACACGGCAAGTTACAGTGTATCGACTGATTACCCGGGGTACCATCGAAGAGCGGATTCGTAAGCGCGCCCTGCAGAAGGAAGAGGTCCAGCGAGTTGTTATCACTGGTGGCGCGGCTGGAGGAGTCGACTTCAACACGCGCAACCGGGAGAGCCGCACGAAAGACATTGCCATGTGGCTGGCCGACGATGAGCAAGCCGAGCTCATTGAGCAGAAGGAGAAGGAGGCTTTGGACCGCGGCGAAGTGTTCGGTGCCGGCAAAGGCGGAAAGAAGGCAGCCCAGAAGAGAAAGAAGGACATTACGTTGGATGATATGTACCACGAAGGTATGTCTTTCCCTACGCACTTTACATGTTGCTTTGAGATAGATACTAATTTTTCTAGGCGAGGGTAATTTCGATGATGCCAGTGCCAAACCATCCGGGGCGGCAACCCCTGTATCGACCGCGGAGAACGTGGGCACGCCCTCGTCCACTCCGGCACCCAAGCGTGGCCGTGGACGCGGATCGGGCAAGGGGACGTCCAAGCGCGCCAAGACAACCAAGGAGCGACTGCGTCTCATTGACGGCGATGGGGGTCTGGGTCCCAGCTGATCCCGATCAGACATTCGCACTCTCATTCTCTCGTTTTACCCATACGATTTGACGGAATGGCGGCGTTTGGATATCTTTCCCTCGTGTCTTGTTGTCTATGCCCAAGTCTTTAATGGCTTTCTTCCATCCTTATCATTCTCCTTTTATTTATTTCGCGATTCGACCACCTTGTTTTTTTTTTTTTCCTTTTTACTTCTTTCCCCGGCTTCGGGCTATGATGTCCGAGGTCATGTATTAACAAGGAGCATTTTGATACACGAGACATTAGGTTCAGGCGGCAGTGTGTTGATGAGCAGACTATTGCGGTAATGTATGAGACGGATGGACATGAGCTTAGTCATTATGATGCATCCAAAAAGCAGCGGCGAGGAGGGAAGCAGACGACGGATAGACGGATGGATGTTGTATGTTTGTATTGTTCTACATGTGATTGGATTTGGAACTGGGATACATTTTCATTTCATCTTTATTTCTTACAAGTCTTTCTTTCGCACGGGGTTTGATTATTGATGGCATGTGGTTCTGGGCCTTTAGGGGCTGAGTAATCCCGGTGACTGCAGTAGTAGATCGGCCTTCTCCGCACTTTTTTGCCCCCGTGCGCTGTAAGGATCGTCCCCAACACAGTATAGTATTTCCTGTACATTGACCGATTCATCGATGGCATACGCCAACGAGCATCTCCGCGTCCTAACATGCAGTGGGTAATGCAGAGGACAACGCAGTAAAGTGACCGACATATATATTTCAAGGAGTAACTGGCTGATTATCTGTCCGATCCCTGGCCCAGGGTTTCACCAAATCTCCAGCCGAGCAAAGACCGGGTGGCCTGATTTACGCCGTGAGTGGTCCGTTTGTCTGAGTCAGCATGCTGTCCCCCATGCCGGCCTGCCGAACGGCCAATCAGCGACGCCTCGATCGTCAGCCTCGGCGAGTCATACCTAAAATTACATTCATTACCGGTCATGGTATCCCGTAATCGGGAGGCCAGTAATTTTTCCCCTCCCAAATCTTGAATCTTCCAGATATCCTGTCTTGTCTTCTTCCTTTTCCCTTCTTCTCCTCTTCACTACCCTCTTCTTCTTCTCCCCATTCCTCCACATCCATTGCTTCCTGATCGTCAATTAGGGGCTATCTCATTCCTTCGGCTTGCACTCTCCGTCTCGAATTGTCTGCCCGCTCATTCGAGTCTCCATGGAGTCGCTTCTCCAGCAGTCCCGGGCCATGTGCCCGTTCCTCAAGCGCACTTCCCCGACCACTTTGCGCTCACTGTCGACCGCGACCCGTCCCAGCACCAGCCCTGGCGGAGGCACCATGTCCAACCTCCAGGTCCTGGCTCGTCGCTGCCCAGTGATGAGCAAGGCTCTGGCGGTGCAGAGTGCTCGTCTGGCTCACACCAAGCGGTTCACCTCTTATACTGCCGGTGTGGCGGGCCTGAACCCCAAGCAATTCCGGCCCACTGTCGGCAAGAGAGCGTTGCATTCCACCGCCGGCAATGGCGCTGATGTGACCCCGAATGTCTACAAGGAGTCACAGCGAGGTTAGTGCTTTTCCTTATTTTCTCTCGCACAGTCACAACGCCAATGTAATTGTACTGACGGAATTCCCCCCAGTTCACCCCGGTCTTACCGGTGTTCCCAAGCAGCAGCTCGAACCTTCTGCCGCTACCGTGCCCGGCCCTCGTCCCCATGCCCCCAACGCCGCACCCTTCAACTACAATGCATTCTACCAGGGCGAGCTCGAGAAGAAACACAAGGACAAATCGTACCGGTACTTCAACAACATCAATCGCCTGGCCAAGGAGTTTCCTCGTGCCCACACCGCTTCTCCTGAAGAGAGGGTGACCGTGTGGTGCTCCAACGACTACCTCGGCATGGGTCGTAACCCCGAGGTGCTGAAATCTATGCACAAGACCTTGGACAACTACGGAGCGGGTGCCGGAGGTACTCGCAACATTTCCGGACACAACCAGCACGCCGTTGCTCTCGAGAGCACCTTGGCCAAACTTCACAACAAGGAGGCTGCGCTAGTCTTCAGTTCCTGCTTCGTGGCCAACGATGCGACTCTGGCGACTCTGGGCAGTAAGATGCCAGACTGTGTCATTCTGTCTGACAGTCTCAACCACGCCTCCATGATCCAGGGTATCCGTCACTCTGGAGCCAAGAAGATGGTTTTCAAGCACAATGACCTGGTCGATCTGGAAACCAAACTTGCATCTCTCCCTCTGAACGTCCCCAAGATTATTGCTTTCGAATCCGTCTACAGTATGTGCGGATCCATTGCCCCCATCGAAAAGATCTGTGATCTGGCCGACAAGTACGGTGCCATCACCTTCCTCGATGAAGTCCATGCCGTGGGTATGTACGGACCTCACGGTGCGGGAGTGGCTGAGCACCTCGACTACGACATTTACGCTTCTCAAGATACGGCCAACCCTCGTGACACCAAGGGAACCGTCATGGACCGTATCGACATTATCACCGGTACTCTCGGCAAGGCGTATGGTTGCGTTGGTGGCTACATTGCCGGATCGGCGGCAATGGTGGACACCATCCGCTCTCTCGCCCCCGGTTTCATCTTCACAACTTCGCTGCCCCCAGCTACCATGGCTGGAGCGGACACCGCCATCCAGTACCAGGCACAGCACCAGCGCGACCGCGTCCTGCAACAGTTGCACACTCGCGCGGTTAAGGAATCACTCAAGGAGCTGGATATTCCGGTGATTCCAAACCCGTCTCACATCATCCCTCTTCTCGTTGGTGATGCCGAGGTGGCCAAGCAGGCCTCGGACAAGCTGCTCGAGGAGCACGGCATCTATGTGCAGGCCATCAACTACCCCACCGTGCCTCGCGGTGAGGAGCGTCTCCGCATCACCCCCACCCCCGGCCACGTCAAGGAGCACCGGGACCATTTGGTGCAGGCTCTGCAGACCGTCTGGAACGATCTGGGCATCAAGCGCGCCAGTGACTGGGAGGCCCAGGGAGGCTTTGTTGGCGTGGGTGTCGAGGGTGCCGAGGCCGCCAACCAGCCCATCTGGGAGGACGCGCAGCTGGGCCTGCAGCCTAACGAAACCGTCGAAGCTGCCGTGACGCGGGAGTTCCAGACGGCTGCTGCCGAAGCGCTCTCTCAGGCCGCTTCCCGCATGCAGACCGCCACTCCGGTGCGTCCCGCCGCTGCTGCTGCTGCCTCAATCCCCGTGGGAGTGGCTGCTGCTTAAACCTTTTCGGTTCAGGCTAATAATGTGGTGGTCTGGATGAGTTGATCGTTACTATTACTTTTCTTTTCGCTGCTGTCGGATTTCAATCCCAGCATGACCATATGACCAGACTCTGGCCATTTGCTCTATCATAATATGAAATATGAAGGTGGATAAAGACACATGGAACCGGCCAGTCGTTACCGATGAATTTGGGTTCTAGATCGAATTGATCATGTCTATTCCTCATTATGCTGCGCATATTTTTTCCTAGTATCATTGTAGATGTAGTATGTATTCTGTAGTCTACATGCATTTACCATTGCAGATAGCTATCTCGTAATCGAAAGAGAATATCCGATGTCAGAACTGTCACTGCACCTACTAATTACTATCCAGCACAATCCTCAGTGTCACTCTCACCTTCCCCTACAATCCCGGAACCCACTCAGACCGACAATACCTTGTCATCTGAGTAAATGAACTGGGTGATACTAAGATAGTATGATCTTCTTTAACTCCGAATTCAATCCAGATTGCCCCCTCTCCAGATTATCATGGTTATTTATCATGTGATCAATTCACTAGCCATCTCAACTGTCATCAGCGCCTCGCCTCGATTCTTCGGACGAGTTCTCTGCATCTCTCTCTCGTGTGGGAGTTTCTTTTTTTTGGTGTTGACTATCTGTCACTACTGAGGGCTATATTTATTTATTCTGGTGGTGGTAGTATCCACAACACATCTGCACATTAAGATTCTATGAATTAGAATTCAGCGATAATTCAGTCTATTCTGCGTACAATATTCAACTACAGGTAGTACTGGTATATATTAAGTATAACGTGTGGTAGTAAAAGACTGGTAACAAACTTACAAGTAAATATTAGTAGTAGT